CCATCGCGTGCCGCTAACAACACTAACACGATCCTTGCGGAAGTTTATCACAACGTCACCGAGCTACTCAACCTCGAATAGGAAAAGGGAAACTATTCCTCATTTGTACGTCTCCAATCTACAATTGAAATTGTAACAGTTATGTGTGTACAACAAAGAGTCCTTTAAGGGTGTATTTAGACTCCAAAAAGTGTAGTGCAGGTTTGTTGTTTAAGTATAGCAAGAACATGAAAGAGTAATTTAGTTATGTGTGTGCACAATGAAGAGTATTCTATCTATCTATGTACATTCCTCTGAGGGTGTATTTAGACTTCAAATAATGTTGTGATTTGATCAATTTCGCATTCAGAATGATACACTGAAAAATATTCTTAATGAGAAAAATGTTTAAAAAATCCAATTCAATTATTAGATTGATTAGGTGTCAGAGAGGTAGTTAAGAAATAATGCGGTATTTTCAACTTACTAAAAAAATGGTCATTTTTGAACGACTACAAAAAGAGGTTGTCTTGTATGTTTAGGGTTTTATTGAGATTATTTCCAGAGTTTCTCGATTGCACCTTAGTTCCCGTTGGCGTATACAAAAAAAACTCAAGATTTGTAGGAATAACTATTTTCATCATTAAACAAGTAATTCAATAAACTAATTTTAAATTTAAACTACTATAATTTTAACGGCACAGATAGTGATAACTTCCATTTTTAATATCGCAGGCCGATGTAAAAGATGGATGTGACTATTAACGATTATTTCCTGTTGTTTCTCCAGTTTGGCATTTCATGTGATAGTGGACTTGATAAACAACTACTATGTATAAAAATTGCAAGTACAAATTATAATCATAAACAATAAGTCTTCCTTAACCTATTTATTTAGATATAATCTTACTCGTAACTTGTAAAGGTCAAGCGACGGTTTAGATAAAACACAAAGTTAATAAAATCAATTGATGTTGGGCAAATCATCAAGATTAAAGCAGTAGTTACATTTAGCCCGCGTCGTGTGACAACACGAGCGGGTAGGTACCAGTTTTGATACATTCACTCAATACACTTATAATTGGAACAAAATTCTCATCTTTATCGAAAGTTTCAATATTTCTTTCGGCTGTTTGGGTGGATGCCTGAACATTGATGAGAATACGCTCTGTAGTAGCGAAAAGTAACAAGTGCTTGAAAGATTCGTCAGTCCTTTTAGGTCCTGGGTAGCTCAGTGGTTAGAGAAGTCGCCCGGATTGCGAAAGGTCATGGGTTCGAATCCCATCTCATGGTGCCAGGACCAAGTGGATATTTTAAGCATTTTGTATTAAGAATATTTTTTTGTATAGCATTGTGAACGCGAAATTCATCAAATAAAATAAAAGCGATATTATAAATACATTATATTCCCACAGAAAGGTCTTTCACCACCAGTCAGAGTCTATCTTCATTCACCCATCTATATTTATGTAGAGAGAAAGGTTGTCTGGGTCACAAGCGGATTACAAGCGGAGCTCGTAAAGTGCTTATGTAAAATGAAGTAACTTTTCCTTCTCTCTATGAAATAAAACAGGGAGAAAATAAAGCAGTTCATGCTGAGTTTCATGCCAGTTCTTGACAAGGTCACAACCGATCGATGGTGTAGCGTTTGACATTCACAAGTGCTTCTAATTGCCCAGGACTGAATAAATGATATTAAATTTGAAGTTGAACCTTTTTACAAAACCGTCGTAAGACCGTGATATTTCCCCTTCAAACTCGATATACTGAAGTAATAAGGAAATTAATCGGTGTATGTACATGTGTTAATTTTAACGTTTTAATATAATTTTTTTGTTCTCTTAATTTATATGATAGTATTTTGTATTTTCAAGTTGCTTAACCTAATTCTTAAAAATGTTGTGTATACCAGTTATTGGGTACCATGTAGGTTCTGTTCCATGTAATTATTCTCGTATGAAAAAAACGTATTTACATGTATAGCTATTTATTATACATATTATTGCTATTTATTATTATATCATAGCTATAGCTATTTATTTAAGGTACACCAACGTGTACCTTAAATAAAAAATAAAATAAATAAATAAGATAAAAGGATAGTACCTAACATTACATTATACAAGCTTCTAAAAATAAAATTACGTATGTCCATTAATTTTTTACTGTGCGAGATTTCAAGTGAATTTTAAGGTTAATTTATGAATTTAATTTGCGCCGCCATTTTTTTTGTTGAGTTATTGTAATTTTTCGTCTGATCCGATTTCTATTGTATGTAAATTGTGACGTACAGTCAATAACCGGTAGTTAGGTGTCGCCTTGAAAATTACTTGGTGAAAGGTCAAAAGCATTGAAGGTATGAATTTAATCCGGATGTGAACACCCTTGTAGGAGGCAACGACGCATAGTCAAGGAGGCAGCGACAATGAGGCAGAGGCGATGAGACGTATGATTGGGCAGTGGAGTCAATCAGATAGCGTAGTGTATTCGTTTCTTTTCTCAGGGGAGCTCCGACTAGAGTAGTCTACATTAATATTGAACCTAAGCTTATATGTTCGACGGCGATGTTTGTTTTCTAAAACTTGATGATTTTCTATAGGTTTCCGTTTTTGGTTATGAGGTGTGGAATCTGAAAAAGTATTATAATTATGCTAGGTTTTAGTGGAATGATGAGGAATTTGAATGGTGAATTAAGAGATCTCATTGTACAGGAGTTGCAGAATATGTAATCTTGTTAAATTATAGTTCGAATTTTATGCGTTTAAAGATTTACTCGTAAATGAATCTGACGCCCAGCAGTGAAAAAAATATTGTCTGATACAATTAGAAATTACTGATGTAACTAGAATAAGAATTATTGGTTCTGTTCATTTTCAAAGTTGAAATATATGTATTGAATTTGTCTTATAGTCAAAGAGGACGTGATAAAAATGTGCAACAGTTTTGTAAAGCTTGATATTTAAGTATGTATCTTGAAGTACTAAGAGTTATAATATATCACTCAGTATCCAGCGCTCTTGACGTTTTTCATATCTCTTGTGAGAGATATGAAAAACGTCTTGCATATTTTTAATCGAGTCGGGAGCCTATCATTTAATTAATAACCTACAGAAAACCTCCATCCGACTTCAATAGCATTTTCTTGAACTTATTAAAGATAAGTACTATTTATTAATTTTATAAGTTTGAAAGCGGTTCCATGTTCGAAAAAAAAATCTTATGTCGCGAGCTCTCCTTTTTTATATCTGTTCACCGATTTCTCTGCGAACTTAGATCGATTTTAATTTTTCTTCTCATAAAATAATCGATCGGATCAGCAGTTTTGTTTTCAAAAAACACAATTGGAAGCTTTCTGCCAAATAACAAAAATACTAACTTAGATGGCATATTTCAGTTATCGAAGAAATCAAATTAATAAATAAATTTTAAAAAATATCATAAAAAGTTCACTGAACTTTTTAATGGATCATCATTAACAAGTTTGTTTGATCACTTTTGATTTGCATACTAGATTAAGAATGTCTCTACGTTTTTTTCTGAGTTCTGTGGTCTCTACTGTGAACACTCCTTTTTTAATTATTCCTAATAGAGAACAAATTGAAAATTGTAAATAAATTCAGGAAAGCAACCACTTTACATATTGATTGTGAATATGAGTGTCAATGTTTGTAATAAATAATAATTATTAAAGCAAATCTGTAAAGCAGCAGCGGTTTATTGCAAAGTGTATCAGAACTTCTAGAAAATTTTTGATAGTAATTACAGTATCTCATTTTAGGTATCAAATTACATGTTTGGTTACTTCCCTGTATTTTTAAACTAATGTAACAATCCACATTCAGTTACTTTCTTTGCTTTTGTTTCAACTAAACAAATGTTCACATTTCACACAGCGAAAACTATCTTCTTAATGAAATTTGCTTAAAAAATCCACTTTGTCCCTGGTCCTCTTAGATGGAATTCGAACCCACGACCTTACGCAAACCAGGTGACTGCACTAACCACTGAGCTACCCAGGACCTAACAGGTCTGACCAATTTTTCAAGAAATTGTTATTTTTTAGCTATTACAAAACGCGTTCTCATCAATGTTCAGGCAATCCACCCAAACATAAGATAAAAATCTTATTATGTCACGAAAATTAACTTTAATACCATCTATAAATTATTATCCGGCCAAAATAAGTCGACACGTCTAGTTTATGTTTTTTTTCTGTGATTATCAATTTGCTTTAGACAGCCTATGGTTCACACGAAGTATTCAGTTTAGCCCTCGTTGTATAATAAGATGGCAATAGTGTGGACAGAAGTTCAACTGTACGAAATATTTTTATTCACATTTGTCATTCCTCTTCAGATCTTTTGGTTTCTTTGTCGACTCGACTCACAGTCGCAACTTTCAATACTAAGAATTGAGATAATATTATAATCAGTTTCAATGAACAAAAATTTTGCTAAAAATTTCGATATTTAGTAAAATTTTCAATATACATTTTTTAATTTAGGGGTTTCCTGTTGACCTATATGTAACAATATGGAACTTGTTTATTCATTTGGCATCGAAAGAGATCTTTTAGTTATCTCTCGCCTTTCTCTTTAACTTTTTTATTCAAATTCTCTTATTTCAGTCTACAAATAAAAATACAGATAAATATTTTATTGTTTATTTTAAAGTCTGTACTGTCAGTTTTAAAAATCTTACATTAAATAACTAAGACTAGTTTCTTTTTTTAGTTTTGTGAAAGTCATAATATTTCTATATTTTTCATGTAAAGTTTACTATTGAGTATTTCTAAATTTGTCATTGAAATATTATAATCTTCACAATAAAGAACCATATTTATTTAAAATGTAAATACGTAGGAAGCAATAAGACAGTTACAAAATTAATAAACTTTTTATTTTGACATTGGAGTTGCTTTATTTTAAGGTTTAAGACAAAATCATTATAGGTATTTGATAAAAAGCAAAGTAATAACTACTCTAAAATACTCCACACAGTTTTGAGGTGGGGAGGATGAGATTGTTCGCTTATTATATTTTTATAAATATGAATGAAGCAAGTTGTAGAGCGTAGTTAGCCCTGTTGAGCAGCCACGGCGGCCACACATTGGTTGAAAACGTTCACGTAGGCGAAGGGCAGGTCACCCTTGCACCCGTAACCACCCTTCTTGTGGATGGCCATGTAATCGTAGCAGTTGATTTGACCGTCACCATTGCAGTCCTGCAAAATATATAACAAATTTTATAAATGAGAATATTCATTGGTTCGAGTCACATCTTATAGTGCCAGGTACAAAGTAGATCATTTAAGCAATTTTCATGAAGAATATTTTTCTTTATAGCTTTTTCCGTTTTCAGTATTGAACAAATATAGTCGAAAGAGAATATTTTCAAATCTCGATGGTATATGACAGACTGCGGAGTGGTTTTTTTTGGTTGTGTTTTCTAAATCAAATAGTTTCCGTCTGCTATGCTATTCCTATTAATAACAGCCTCGAATTTGACGTCGAGCTTATCGCTCAGCGCAGTGCAGCATAGCGTTTTAGTGGAATAAAACCTTTATTACAGTTTGGAATGGGTTCTATGCTGTAACAAAGCTACGTGCGACGTCCAGTTCGAGACTCTTTTTATAACATAATAGCACTGCTGTTTCACCTACATTAACTTTGAAGCACTTTGAAATGTTTATTCTTAATGAAAACTCCACTTTGTCCCTGATACTCTCAGAAGTTTATTGTAGTAAAAATATTATTTTTACGTTTAAAACATATTGTAATAAATTATAAGAGCTCCATTTGAAATTTGATTCATCCAATTATTCGTAGACGAATAAAATACCGAAAAATTCATAATATATTAAAGAAGTAATATTTAAATCGTAATACAATTGGGTTTTTTGTGATGACTAGATTAAATCATTAATACGGTACATCTGTATGTATTATAAAAATATTTGTAAACAATATCAAATCTATATTCTAAAAGTTGAACAAGTTATACTTAACAGATGATGTCAGCTATGAAATAATATGCAAATCATGATGACAACTAAGTCATAAATTAGCATACGCAGTCACACCCACACAGACTATGAATAGACGCAACGTTATTTAAGAAATGCAACAACATCATAATATCTCATATTGTTCAGATCCCAAATAAAATAGCTAAAGGACTTGTATTACGGAAATATGTAACAACTCAGGTAGGTAGGAAAGGATAATATAGAAAAGTATATTTTCTACATTGACCCGACCGGGAATCTATTCCGGCATTTCAAAGGCGGCCACATATTGCAATGTACTTTAAATTATTTTGTACACGTGTAGTGAATCCAAGAACATTAATACAAAAGTTATATTATTTTGATTGCACAAAATTCACACAAAACCTGGTTATTCAAAACCAGCTCCATTAAACATTTATTCGTCATTTTATGATAAAACTGTTTTTGATAAATTAAATGTTGTTTTAAACCTATAATACAATGTGTATGTTGATTTCAGAGTGCGCGAGAGCAATATTTCCACTTTTTTTACCCTCTTGGAATCCATTTACAGCATCAATATATAAATTATGACCATGCCGTTTATTGGCATATGCAAATTGGCACTTGTGACTCAAATCAATATGTTTACAATATCATTTTAAAATTCAATGTAATATTTTACTAAGAAATAAATTAATTGTGCAGAATCACTTAAAGATATTTTGTGGCATGAATAAAGAATTGTTACTATTATCATCTATTAAAATAAAAATGTATGAGTTGAGATTTCAATTACTTTAAAATAAGCAAGATGAGAAGCATATAAAATTTTAAAACATTATAAAACAATATTATCTTAAACTTTAAAACTGCCGAAACAAATTTATAGACAAGATATATTAATTGATACTTTTGTAAGGTTGAAGGTGATATCAGCCATGTGATCAGAGTGTAATAAATCGATATTTCAGACTTAACTCTTGCCATGTTTCGCTGTGGATAATTCAAAATGTTCCCATGGAAACTTGGGTATACAAAACTCATATTGCGTCAAAATTGTAAATCAAGCCAATTAACTGTTTATCGACTTATGCAAGCACATAGTAATTTTTATTTAAATAATGCATAAATAATTACTCTACACAACGCTTACACAAATTAGCAGTAATTTTAAATCAAAAACATGGACTATAACTTCAAACTAACTCAAATTCAATTAAATACAAAAAGTTTAATTTGTAAAAACTCTTATGCTGCAACTATATCATACTACATTTAAAGAATCACGATTTTCAAAATTTGAAATTTCTAAGCTCTTATATTTATATAAATATAGTGGATAATATAGAATATCGAAGAAGTAATCTGTACCTGTCCATATTTAGCCATGTAGCCCTGGACGGTCTGAGCTGCACAGTACGGGTCATTGGTGCAAGTCGGATACGCTGAAATTGAAACAACATTTTATTAGAATTGAATTAGAAAAGTCCGAATTTAAACTCAAACACACCTTTTTATCAATTTTCAAATCTTTATATGTGGATATTATTTCGTATCATTAATTCTAAAATCTATTTCAGTTGCTTTAGAATTATGGCAATTTTTTTTAATGTATAAGAAATGAGTAAACTATATGTTCAGTACCTCTTTTTTTTTAAATATTTTATTTATTAGTAATTTTTACGGCAACACCAATTCTACGTTAAGTCACTTAAGAAACTTAGTCATCATATGAATATGTATGTTCTACAAGAATCAAGCAAAAGGTTAGTGTTACGCGTCGTCGTGATTTCTTTCAATGCCAAAGTCGCGTATATCCTGTTACTTACAATAACAGCAACATTATAAACTCGTTAGTGAAATATACATACTTTTCTCATATTTGAAAATAGTAGATACCTATTGTGAGAATTCGTAAAGTAGTTTTGAACTACTTTGTATAAAAAGGTGAGTCACTAGAACAGTTTGTTATTCGATCGAATAAGGATTTCTAGGTGCTACATAATACTATCTTCCATTAATCTAAGTTCATAAGACAAATTAGGCATTTTATTTTAGTCATTTTCGTTTAAATTTCGGTATCACTTAAACTACTTGTGTTTAAACTGGAATTATGCCTGGATTAGGATATCTGTTTTATATTATCATATGTTTAGGTAGTATATAACCAATTACATTAGCCCCTCCCACGTGTCATGGAATCGTATGAGAGAGATTAAGCGTCGATTAATCATTGTTTTCATTTAAAGACTAAGATACGATTTATAAAAGTATCTCTTCATTTGTTATTAGATTGTGAGAGGATTTCTATGTTAAAGATGTGCCTAGATTAATAATTTAGAGCCGGATTGCCTGGCTCTACATCCTATCTAACATATAAACTTTGTCACAATCAAATAACAATGAGAAAAAATATTTAATATCTCTAATTATATTTAATACTCTTTACGGCTAGATATCATACCATTTTTACTTTATATGTGTTTTTTGGCAACAAAGGAAGATGGCAAATACATGTACTGTAAATAGTGGGCTACATTATTTTACCGAAAGAGTTTCTTACCTTGTGGGTCATCAGGGCTAAGGCCATGGAGTGTTGGCTTCCCGGCGTCCGCCCAGTAAGCCCATGTGATGTGGAACAAGCCGCAGTGGTCGCCTTCACACTGCAGTCCCTGCTTGCATCCTGACACTGCCTGGCAGATGCATCCTAAGCAGACTTCTGTGACTGGAGCGGCGCCTAAGTTTTTGACGCCGGGGAGTTCCGCTGAAAATACGACAAATAACGTTATATTATTATAAATATATTTTTCCATCAAAATATTAATTCAAAGACTGAGTTTTTTATAGTTTAGTTTACGAGGAAGAACAAGAGAGAAGAAAGTCAAGAAAATATAGTTTTAGCATTGATGTATTAACTGACTTTTCTAATATTTGCTCTATATTTGGATAATGGATTTGGAGTGTGTTGAACTATACATTCAAATTGTATGGAACGTGTACAATTAGTGCTTAGATTTGTTTTTATTGGAGTACCTAGAGATAGTTTTTTCGTTTTCCTGATTGATTTGACCGGATATCGAACCCTACGTGCAAACTATAAACCTTGAAAACCATCAAATTATATGACGTTGTATAAAAATATGAACGCAATGAACTTTTAAAAAGTAACAACGTAAATAAGAAAATATTTCAAGAATGTTGAACATAAAAACTTGAATGAACGATCGAAATGTACATCGTTAGTATTCAAGAACACGAATCAATGTCGCCCTGCCGTCGAAATATGTATATTATTCACAAGTTATCGACGCCATCATCGGTAGTAAATCTTCGCTGAGGTCGGTCAAGGGCTTAAGAAAATCTCGCGTACATTATTTACAATAAACATAGCTCATATGACTTCATTGTTTGTTCCAATACACTAACACTACAATATCTTATTTCAAAGGGTCTTATCAATATATATGTATAGTAACACTAATTACCTACATATCAAAAAAGGTTTTTTATTAAGATCTATAGAATTCATTACCAGTGCGTAACTCCAAAGAATAGTCATATCCCTATTTTTTTTTATTAAGATCTATAGAATTCATTAACAGTGCGTAAGTCCAAAGAATAGTCATATCCCTACTTTTTTCATTATAAATTTTGTCTCTTTTATCGGAATATAAAGAAATGGCTAAGTTTCACAACATTTAACATTAACACATATTGTTAAGTCTCAATCAACCCCTTATTTGAAAGGCTTTATAAAGATGTATTGTTTAGATTAACAGGACGCTTTTCACAAATTTGAACACGGATTTCTTGGAATAAATATCTACGCATTAAATTAATTATTTCAGAGGAAATACAGCACGATTAAAGAAACACATCAACTATTACGTATGTTGCCGATTTTAGGAATCGACTTCATTTTATTTCCGCATTATTATTTAAAACGTAATTTCGGTTTAGATGATTTATATGAAATTTGAAACAAAGCTGGCCTCAGGTTCTATAAATATTGAATGTTCTTCTCCCATTTGTATTCATATTACTTTGGTGTACTCTAAAAGGGTTCACAACTGCCGTGGCAGAGAGACAGTGTGGCAAGTTTCAAGGCACAGATACGCATAATCAAGGTATCTTTATCTCTGAGGTCCTGGGTTCGACTCCCGGTCGGTTTCATATGGAGAATGGAGTTTCCTTTAATGCCTTCGGTCTGTGTGTTGTGATACTTTCTTTTTTCTTTTTGTATTATAAAAAGCTTTTAAAAAATTAAGTACATACATACATTGTTCATATCCTAAATTAATGAACCTAGAATAATTATGCTGTTCATTAACTGCTGCTGTTAATGCTACTTTGTCGGGTTTCCTAGATCAATTAGAATTGTTAAATATCTTTTTAATTGTGTAAGGTAACGCGTCCATTATGGTAAACGGAACTACTTTAGTATCATAATTGATACAACATTAACAATAACAGATTTCATAGAAACGAAGTTAGGTTTTGCCAAGATTGTATCTACGTTTTTTATCGTGAACTTTACGGCTTCCGTTTACCTTGTCGTTGTAGTGATGTAAATCAAATCATAAGTCATTCTGTAGATATCGATAAAAAAATAAAGCCAAAATAAGGAGCTAAAAAAACAATTGTAAGTGACATTATGTATAGCTCTTGTCTTATCAACATTGACATTATTGCTTATCATTATGTTATTACGATGTAGAATTAAGAAAATATGTAATACTTTCACGAAACTGAAAAACGTGCTATGCAACGGAAAACTCAATATGAAACTGTGAAATAGATTTGATAGATGTTTCATCTTTTCTGTTCTCCTATAAGATTTAGAATCCTGGACACTAACAGAAGCTATGTGTAACAAGGTGAAGGCATGTGAGTGTACCAAAGAATGCTTAGGATTTCACGCCAAATTGCGAATGAGGAAGTAAATGAGTAAATGGGTGGAAGCTTTAAGCGATAAAGAGGCGTAAACTGGAATATTTGGGTCACATCTTGCTAAACCAAAAGTGTTACAATTGATCATCCAAGGAAAGATCCAGGGCAAGCAAAATCTGGGCAGGAAAAGAGTGTCTCGGCTTAAAGATTTACGACAATGGTTTGGAAGGAGCACTCGATCGATTTGGACAGCTGTAACGAAGGTGGAAATTACCATTTTGATTGCCAAACTGCACTGAAAGAGAAGAATTGAACTGGATAGTGGTATCCAAATTTGAATAATGTCAGAGGTAATAAAATCATCTCGATATCTTGTTTTAATTTAAGTAAAATAAAAATTACATAAAAGTGTGTATTGGTGTCCTAAATTTAATACTCTAATATCTAGTAGTATTAATTTATGAGGATAATTAAGTAGGTACCTCTGGTACCTATTTTATGATATTGTAATAAGATAAAATTTCACGGTTAAAGGTTATCTATTCTGTTCTGATTTAGTTACCGCATAATATTATTATCTGTGGTTACTAACGTAGGTACTTGTTGCGTTTGAGGTAAACAAGATTATTTATAAATACGTTCAAACAAATTATTGAAAAAAAGAAAAAAATACATTTATCTACAATTGAGAACACACATTTAATTCATAAAAAATATATACTTAAACGAGAATAAAAAAAAAAGTCTCCTTTTTTGATGGGTGATTAAGAGAAGGAATATAAAATATTATTTGCCTTCTCTTAATCACTCATCAAAAAAGGAGATTTTTTCTATCACTAAAATAATAATTTTGATCTAGTCACTAAAATTATTATTTTAGTGACTAGATCAAATTGTTGGTTTTTGCTCAATTACTTGTGTAACTATATTTTGTGTCTTTTATTAAATGTTTGTACGCTTTGTTGTTAATAATGAGAAAATGTTAGCTCATAAAAGCTAAATATAAATCAAATTTGCATATTTATTCTTATCAAGAAAACAACTAAAGGTGTTCGGGATTGGACATTAAATATAATTGATTGTTAAATGATAGTATTTTAAATGTTATTGAGTGCATCCGATTCCTACGGCGATTGTTTTTACATTATTTAAACCTCTTTTTTCTGTGATTTAAACTATATGTATCTGCGACGCGTCTTAGTGACGTCACAGACGGTGTTCGGTAATAATAAAATGTAAAAACAAAAGGTCTATTCATATCCTACAAGAAATTATTTCTGTAGTTATAATAAACGTTCTGATTTGAATAAAATTTACTGAGGGTTTCTTTATAACAGTATATATTAAGTATTGGATACACGTTTATGTTTAACCAAGTATGTTGTTTAGCTGGTCCACAGAAGGATATATTTATTTGTGGCTTTTATGGTTGAGAGGACCGGTCCCAGGCGGATCACGGTGGATGGAGAGTTCTTTTTTTTTCATCTACATGTATTAATTAAGCTTGAAATCAACTTTTATTATACAAACTTAGTTACTAATTGCATGGAAACAGCAGGGTTGTCGTATTTAACAATGTTTACGTGAGGTTTTATTCGTCTTTTTTTCTTCGATTAATATTTCATTAAAATTAAAGATGTGGTCAAATATTTATGAAGAATATGAATTTGAATAATTGCTCGATGAAGTCACAAAAATGACTCAAGTAATTTAAATAGATTAAAATGTTATAAAGCGTGTTAAAAATTTTTCCTTATCTCTCTTTTTCTGTAACTAAATTGAAAACTTTGAAAAATATTGCGAGTAATCAAATCATCATAACATACTTTTTCAAACACGGTATTAAAATTAAAATCACTTTGGAATTACTAACTTTATAACAGAGAAAATATGGTGATAATAGGTATATTGAATACAGATACGACCTTGGGTTTTATTCTAACTTTTCCGTTAGTCTGCCATCTATTTTGGAAGGTACTGCCCCGTTTTTTTATAATTTTGTATAAAACATTATTCCGAACGAAAGTTTCTATACCTATTAGAAACATAATTTTATTACTAAGACTTCATTGTCCGTCGGTCTGCCTTTCGCTTTGATAGTTAGACATATTTTCACAGATGATGCATTTCTGTTGGCGCTATTACAAAAACACGACAGTAGGTACCCTTAGTGCGAAAGTCCGACTCGCACTTTTATGCATATATGTATTATATATGCCGAGTCGAAAGTTGAGAGGCTAAACAGCAGCAAGGTTACGAAATGACTTTTGTATATATTTTTCTTTGTAAAAAGGTCTCCTAACATTGTTTTTCCAGTGGCATGTGTTGCTACTTAACGAAATATTTCTCATATCACATGTGATGAGTTGCTTGCGCAAAACACACGAATCTCCAATGTCACTGGCCACTTTATGTACGATATGTTTGAGACACTTCGTCACCCACTTGTCAGTACCTTCATTATTTCTTCAGTAGTAGGTACTATAGAAAATTGCGATGCTTATACGAAACTTCCAAAAAAATTAAGAAGTAGTAAACTAGTCAATTTAACATTGGCAACGTAAGAGTAGAATAATATTGCTTTTATTAATAAAATGCTTTCTGGTTTGAAATAAATTAGTATGATTATGATATCTATGATCCAGTTTACTCCAATTAGGTACCTGTCGGTCGTCAATATTTTCGGGTTATATTAATAATTATTTGTTTGACAATCTGATTTATCATTAATCAATTTAGTTTGTGTCAACCGTAGAAAAAAATATCTAACATAGTAATTAATTGAGTGGTAATTGCGTATAGCTGACAAACAATAGCAGTAAATTAATTAATTATTGGTTAAAAATGAAGGACCGCATTAATATATCGTTACAAACTTGATTGTGGCAATTAAATTGTCCCTGTGGTGTTATTAATTTGATATTTATTATTATTTTATTCATTGTGTAATTGAAAGAAATAATGTTTGTAATGGATTGAATATTACCAATTGCTATATAAAAGTATTCTAATAAATTTGTTTTAATTGTAGCGATATGTTAATATTTGTTTGATTAAAATCACTTTATCAAATTTTAGTAGATATATAATAAAATTATCTTGTGATAAAAACGTAATTATTTTTTTTTTAAATACCACATAAATAATACTTTTTTTTATATATAAAGGAGGGCAATACTACAATACTACAACAATTTTTTTTAATGGGATGAATGTGCTACGTAATTTATGCTTTATATGCAAGTGAGCACTTACTATAAGTTGGCCTCGAATTGTATTTATTATTAAACTTCGTCGATATCTTTTATAGAGTTTGGATTTATATATATATTTACAGCGCCATTTTATATATTTAAAAATAGTAAAGTTTTGAACTTTATTTTTTATATTTTATTAAATCCGATTTTATCTATCCATTGCCAAGATATTTGTATGTCTAGAATATATATTTTCATTACCGCGATTCATGTCTGTCTACATGAAGTCGTTATATTACAAAAAAGTTGCGAACTTACACGGGTTTATTATTTTTTAAAAAGCTAAATTTATATTATATACCTCTATACATTATATGAACACTTTTTTCGTTTTATGACAAAATAATAGTTTAGGAAATCAATATTTATAACAATTATCTAGTGGTTAATATTAACAAAAGAGCTTCATCTAAAATGGCCCAGAATAAAAAAAATACGCTATATAAGCTCTGTAATATTATTGAAAAAATAATGTGATCACTCTAGAATTATGCATTAGATTAATAATCGGTAATAAATTACTACACAAAGGTTTTTCCATGATATTTAAAAATATCCGGTACAATATTAGGCACACAAGAATTAGTATATAAAAAACATAAATGCTTAAATTTAGTAAACAAAAAATGGATACTAACACACATCAGCGAGGCACACGCATATTAACATAAATATGGCACTGAACTTGATCACGGCTGACGCCATTTTAGGCGGGTAAATGGAAATATATAAAAATAATTTAGTTACAAAAGTTAATTACTAAAATCGGCAAACAACTTATGCTTGCGCTCAGCGAGGTACAACTGGCATTGGACGCGACCTTAGCTTGGCTTATATGGACCGGCTACGTATGATCTGATTCATGGATGTTCCGTGAAATTTTATTTAAAATGTTTATAAAGTTGTTAAATATTCTTTTGTTATTTTTTAAGAACTATCCAATTCGATGAAGGTTTTATCTGGCTAACAAAGGAGTATTTATTAACTAGTACGCTTTAGTTTTAGAAGCGATGTGATATGATTTTACTTTTATTTTTATTTTTAGATTCTGTTGTTTTTTTCTGTAAAATATATAGTTAAAGATAAGAAATTAGAAATAATGTATAAAATTGTTTAACTATGATGGAAATGCTTATGTAATATAGTAGTAATAAAGGCTTATTTTATTTTATTTTTATATAATTATGGTTTTTTTTGTACGATAAATGCTTTTTACCTGAATGTCGAATAAGTGTATGATGATTACATAGATTTTGTATCACTGAAAACTTTAAACACGGGTCAAAAATAAATAATACAATTTACAATTAACTTAAATCGAACTATGTAATGTTTATAAAGTATCTACATGTTACCTTTTTTAAATCGAATGCTCAGTACACGAGTAATGTCAAGGATATTCATATTATGACTTCTATTATAAAATACATAAGTATGTTATGACTGTTGTTTACGACAGGTTCTTTACAACTAAATCCGCTCCATAGCCGAATAAAACATGCAGTTTACTAGTCATGCATTCCTATGTGCTTACATTGCTGCAGCTTATATCCGCTTAATTTATAATTTATTATCATACTATGTTCGTTATACCCATTTCCTTTATATTTATGTTTAAAAAATCTCTATGGGAACAATAGTTCGAGCCGAAGAGAAGTGTGCTGAGAACCAAGAGTTCCGATTGGCAGGTTGTATCTCTTCTATGAATTTATTAATTTATTACTACGCGTCTTCCTCTGACAGCTTCAACTATAGAAAATATTCATTTATATCTGTGTCATTTACATAAATGACGTACACTATATGAATATCATTCTCGTGTGTTTCCAGGCTGTTTTGGAAACGAAAAAAAAACATTAAAGTAATTTTTCTATTTATTCAACAAATCATCATTATATTTATGGCATCAATTTATTGATACGTACGTAGCTTTGCTATTCTGTAAAAAAAAATCAAATAAAACCTTTATTACCTACTTTTAGAAATAGGTTGATTTTGATTAAATCTCTAATACTGCAACAGCTTATTCGGTGTATTTTCGACAGAGCCTTGCCCATGGATAGTCAAATAGCGAGAAAAGAAGATGACCCACCAGACTGGGTCATCGCGGGGTTGTTTACGATTATGGATGCAACCGATATCAAGACGAGACATCCTTTAGAAACGTGACGGAATTCGAGATAATACATTTGGTCATCCACCTGATGTTGATTTGATTTCATGACTGCTTTTGAATGCGACGTGTAAATAAATAAATCAAATTCTCAATTTAGATCTCATTATCCAAAATCTGAAACAACGAAGGTACTATAATACCCACATCCGAGATAATATAGAAACGTTCATTTTCTATTCCAATTCGGGGCTCCAAAAATGGTAACGCCTTGAAACCGGCGTGCAAGCCACTCTGCTATGGAAATTATAAACGCACTGTGAAGAAGATTAGCAGTCTTTCGATCATAACACATTTTTTAAACTAAAGAGTGTGTTGTTCTGCGGGTGTTCTGCGTACACCCGCTTTCACTAACCTAGAGCAAGGTATAGCTTAACATGGAAACGATTAATTATATAATAATAACGCAAATGGTAATAATGTTAGGTCGTTCCCAGTCTTTTGATGACTCGGCCAAGGTTTCCTGGGTCTTATCTCCCACGAGAGGGTGCACCCACGTAGCAAAAGGCCCTTCGCTATTGTGAAATCAGTTTAAAAAAATGTATGAACTAAAATAAGCCACGCTACTGTCTTAACTTATAATTTTAAGTATAAACATAAACTGACAAATAAATATTGTGTTGTGTTAATCGGAAAGCAAAGTATGCTTTTCCGAGGGGGGGCCGGGAGGTTAGAGCGGTAGTGGAGCGGTGGATGGTTGGGTTTGAATGCCATCTCGAGTATCTCAGACTGTCGACATTTTGTAGGTACTTATAAGATTTATAAGAATTACTATATTTTTATTAAACCAAGATCCTTTTGAAAAAGACAGTAAGGTCAGGTCCGTATCTACGATTTTTTTAACCGGGCAGAAACTTCGTATGGCGCCCTTCATCAACTATATCACCATATATTTACACTCTGATTTTATATTTTATTTTATTTAGGGATTTTGAAGCATGATTTATTGCAACCTTGTGTATGAAAAGATTTGTGAAACACCTTTTTTTTTTAAACTGTAAGTTGGTAATGTTGATTTTGGCGCCCCATAGATCCGGCTCTAAGTAAGGTTTTCTAATTTTCCTTGCAATTTATAGTTTTAGAGATTAAAATGATATTAATTTTAATTGCGTCATTTGATAGTATCAGTAAGTCTGAGGTACTATTAAAGAGGAACGAAATCAATTATTGAATAAATGGAACATTCATTTAGCATACATAAACATAAAAATTAAGAAGATAATATTATTTTATGATGTAGCAAACGCATGGGTTAGATTCTATTTTATCTGAATGTTTTTGCACCTTAGTTGTTTCAGTTTCCTTATTGCGAGAGCTTTAACACTTAATTTGAGATCTGAGCGATGGGAGTACTATACCTATGGGAGTACTCCCATGTGATGTTTTCCAATATTTATTAATTATATAAATATACTCATATATGCATACTTAAGTATTTACTTAGTTCATCGTGATTCAAAATTAGCAGAATTCAGTGGAATGGACTAAACTGTTATAAAATTATTCTTCTAATGGACTTACTTATAGGTATCATCAACAACATAACTGCTTTCTTTATAAGATGCCTGTTATTGGAAAGCTTATGTTCAATATTGATTTCACTTACCATATTTATATCAAATAGTAATACCACTATAACTCCGATGAAACTCGTATTTATTTTACTTCATAGACTTTTAAAACTAGTTATAAATAAGTACACCCTAACAAGTGTTTCCAGTCTAGCTTAGACATTAACTTGTTGATTATACATTTTCCCATTTCGCGTGGGAATTGAAGCTGAGAATATTGTAAGTCTAAGATCCGTTTGACCCCTTAAAAGGCATGGACGAGTTGCTATTAAATCGACGGCGTAGTTGTTACGGATAATAAGTCGACTTGGGGTTCTGTTAAAAAATCGTATTTTGGTTTTCAAGGTGTTATGTAAATGAAGGCTATGACCGGGTTGGATAGCCGACACGATTATGTAACTAGTACCTATATAAACTTTAAATATCATACCTACATAATTCTTATAACTCAATTTAAATTAAATACTTAAGTATAATATTCTATTTGTAAGAGGACGCGTAAAATACTATTAAGTTTCAACTGCTTTTGTACAAAGAAATAACATCTAAATAAGTTGCAATTCAATTTCAAAAAATAACTCGTATCTCTAAGCGAAACGCGAATAATAAAGAAGAAGAAGAGCAGTCATCCGGATTGCGCAAGGTCGTGGTTAGGATTGAGCAAAAACTATCGATATATCAAAATATCGATACATTTGATAAATATCAATATTTTTTCCCATTTGCCCATCCCTAGTCGTGGTTCGAATCGCATCGCATCTTCCATATTTACGTCATTGCTAAACACAATGAGGACAATATTTTGGGTTTACATTGGAAGGGGAACCGTTTCTTTCCTTATTCATCTCGTGTGACGAAGTTAGTGTTACCAGATGGGAAGAGTAAAGTATCTGGGCAAAATTTCATAAAATCGGGATTACTATTCACAAAATCGATAAATTAATTCTTCGCCTCGGAAAAATATTGATGATTAAGAAGCAAAGATAGTGGAATTATTTCTAGGTTTTTTCAGTCGTTACCGAGCGATTGATTGTTTGATTTTTATCAATTATTTACGATTTGACGGGACATTTCCTAATTTCTCGGGACTCTGTAGATTCTCTAAAAATTCGGAACACTCAGACCAATCCCGACTATCTGGCTACTCTAAACGAAGGTTATGACAAAAAATAATCGACTTCGTATTGATGATTATTTTACAAATGAAGTTGTGAGAGATATACAATATATTAAATTGAAGACTACCTAGTTTAGTTTCAAGTTTAATAAATTGTTAAAAGGGCATTTTTAAACTCTTATGAAACTAACTTTTGAGATTTGAGCTGAGAATAAATTGAAAAAGTGGAGAAATGACTCTAGATCAACTGAAATCCTTGTCTATGTCAATCCCTGATTCTTGAAGGTTTTAAGATTTTTATGGAGCTATTTTTTTTTAAATAAAACTAATGAGGAAGTATTTAAAAAAAACATTAGTTCCCGAAATCAAACTAGATGCCACTACAGTACGTTTTTGATTTCTCCATGATAACCTTTCCAGTTTTCTTTCATGTTTAAAAGTAAATTAGTTTTCAAAACTCAATAAACAACTCATATTATATTTGTACTTTTCGTATTTTTATTGATATCTAAGTTTCAAACTTTCAAATTTCAGTTTTTTTTTATATTAGTTAAAAGGAACGGAAATGTCTGCCTTTGGTCCATACGTTTCCTGCAAATATCAACTTTTGCTAGAGTCGCCATCTAGTGGAAGTTCTTTTTTAGTGCTTTCGTTTTTTTTTAAATACATCCTCATTAAAAATGTTCTAGATTTTTGATTCTAGGGTAAACAACAAACAATATTTTAGGTTATTTAGTGTCCGACCGAAGGTCTATTTTTGGCCGAAGCCGAAGCCGATTAATCGGCAATCGCCACAACCTTCGGCAGAGGCCGTAATCGAAGGTTTATAATCTCTCAGTAATTAATTTTATTCAATATTGTCTACAAGTTACAATTAATATTAAAATTATTTCAAACATCGATATTGAATTAAAAGATATGCATACGAACTTGTATTGACGCGCATGCAATGTGATATTTGACATTGAAGGTGCTTGTTCCGGCGGTCCGATTTTTTCCAGTCCAATTGTCAGGCCATATGTAGGTAATGCTAGCCTATGCACTGTCAGGAATATATTTCTGTCTTCTACGTCTTAGCGCGTAGAGTAATAAAGCAAGCAATTACCGACGTTCCAAAAATCTCATCGTACCTAGCTTAAGAGACGTGTAGCTTCACGTCACGTTAGTTACCCTAAACTGCGCCGCTCCAATCCGGAAAATAACGGACAAGTGCACAAGCTACTCATCCGGGTTTTTCATGACATTCGGGACCGGAAAAAATTGGACCGCCGGATCTGAAAATTCAGTGTAGTGCACAAGCGCTCTGACTCCCCGCGGCCTCTGCAAATACTACCAGTCCGTCGCTCTCTCACTCAGTCTTTCGTAACAGTTCGTTTAATCTCGATGGTAGCTCGGACCTTCAGCGAAACCTTCGGCTTCGGCCGGGTTTTGGGCCTAAGCCGAAGGTTTCGCCGAAAATGGTTTTTTTGGCCGAAGGTGGCCGATGCCGAAGCCGAAGACGAAGCTTCGGTCGGACAATTGTTATTTTATTTATTAACGAAACTCCTCGAAACACGTGATCTAAAAATTACAAAACTCTTAGTTTAATGGAAATGAAATTAATCAAGGCGTTATGTTTTGTGTTTATAAGTATAGTTTAGTGATACGGTTTTGTTATAAATATTCGAGGTTTTTGGACTTATGTAACTTAAATGTTTGCTAATTATATAAAAAAAAACAAAAACGTCATGTGACGTACATAATTTGATGTCAATGAGGAAAGTATGTTTCCGTTGTGCTTCTTATATTGATTTAAAGGATTATAACTCATTTTCATTGGCTGTTAAAAGTAAGTGATAAATATATGTCCAATCACAGATTCTTTCAGCTGACATTTAATATAATTTTTTAAACCAGTGAAATGAAATCCTACTTATTATAACTCGAGGAAAAAGTTGCTTGCTGGGTTGGTGAACACGATACATGAATGTCAAATTTTATAGTACTAATCTAGTGTAGTGTAATTTTTAACTAAATGAAGCAATTTTTATAATTTTGGTGTATTATTGTTTGTGCAGGTAATCGAAATGTTTAAATAACTCTCCGTTGCAATATAAAATATCTGAAAAAAATCCTCAACTCATTTAGAAAGATCTGTTAATTAAACCTATTTTTATATAATTTGGTTTATAAATAATAAAAGCGTTTATAACAGTATTTATGCATTGTATAATAATTGATTCCGTTTACAGATATTAACATAAACAGTGACATTAAAAAAACTGTAGACATGACAATGACCTTATTTAAAAAATAGGCAATGTGAACATCTTAAAGTTCATACAGAGTTTTAGGCATCTGAAGCCTTATAAGACAAATCTAAACATAACCTTGTAACTATGATAAGATTGCTTGATAATTCTTTCTACTTCATTAGTTGTGTAGGTATTTTAGTACTTACTCTTATATTTGTGTAATTAGATTATTCTTAACTGGAACAATATTTGATTTAATGGTAATTTTTCTTCTGTTTCTATTTTAGACTCACCATGCGTTTGTTTGCATTATCGGTGCTACTGTTTGTGTACGGAGCATTTATTGTACAAGCCTATGAAGATAATACATTGGAAGATGATGATTTTGCAGAATTTGAACAATTTGATGCTGATGATGATGATCCAATTGATATTAAACTAGGTATGTTGATATGGAAGTTATGAGATTATTTTGAGAACCATTATCAAAACTACAGTAAATTGAAATAAAACCAAAATGAATTATTACACCAAATCCCTCCTCATAAATGACTTGTCTGCCGGTGAACACTATATGCAAATCCTTGGTAGTTTTTGAAATTAAGGACCATTCAAACAGATGAATGGTCCTAAATTTACTTTTTTTATAACAAGTATTATAGTGGAATCAGAGTACAAGATAATTTTTTATAGCTTATCGGAATATTGTTTTTGTTAAAGTGAAATATATTTCAGAATTCAGTGAAGATGGCAAAGATATTCCTCCACTTAAGAATAGAGATAAGGACCAGTTTGAGGCACAAGTAGAAACTGAAGATGATATGATAGTGGAAGTAAGTTTCAAGTAAACATTAATTTCCTCTTTTAATTGTTCAATTAAAAGAGGAAATTAATTAACAAGCAATGAGTCGCTTTTAAAATTTACAGTAAGTCTTGAAATTTAAAATGTTAAGGAATTTATATAAGTTACTGTGAATTAATGTATTTTTTTTAAAGTGAATATAATATGTACATTGTCTTCGCAGTAATAAATTGTGTATTATTGCAGGATGATGATAATGAATTTGAACATTTCCAAGACCCAGAAGAGTTTGAAGGTTTTCAAGACAGCTCTGCGCCACATGTGTCTGAACAACCAAAAATCACCATTTCTAAGGTCTCTATTCTAATTAATGAATTCATATGAAATAGGTTTTTAACATGATGAGCTATTCAAAGTGTAATGATACGATTTTTTTTAAACTAGCTGTTTTCTCATGACTTTACTTGTGTAAATTATAGCCTGTGTCACCAGTGTATCATGTAGCCATAGGCAAAAGATTTTTGGGATTGGTTCAGTGTTTTTTGAGCCTATTTTTCCTATTTACAATAGCATATATTTTCAGAAAAGTAGCCTGAGTATCTGAAACTTCAAGTCAATGGATTGACATGAAGTTTGGGATACTTGGGCTTAAGTATAGCTTTTATATCAAAGTTTCCACAGTAGTGTGTGTAGAAAGGCAAACTTCAATGGATATATTATTTTGAACACATTAATAATACTAAATTTAATGTATTTTTTTCCTACCTATTTACCTATTTCATACTAAACTGACATCTAAAAATCACGGAGTAATTTCATGGATACTGAGTAAAATGTTGGCCATTTGTTTAAATACATTATATTTTTCATAGGTTCCTATTACGGTGCGGCCTCGGTGGGATGCATATTGGTTGGAAGGCATCCTGTGCTGTTTACTAGTGGCTTATGCATTAGGGTATGCTGTGGGTCGTTCAAAAAATACATCCATCGCTCTTAATTTCCTGAAGATGCATAAACCTCTATTGGATGATAATTTTACTCTAGTTGGTGAGTTCTTTACAAATGCATATAAAAATTAATATCAATTATTTTATTTAATTTAGAAGCAAGGCGAGGCCGAGTCGGACCTTCTACGATCGCGTGTTATTTAAAGAGATGTCAAAAGCCATAAAAACTGATGAGAGTAATAAGCATTGAGTATGTGAAAGCTGATTTCTTGTGATGTATGGTCCTATGGACCACCTGGTGATGGAGATGACTTGAAAATAAAACAATTTATAATGCATGTGTGATGATTTTGTTATGCATATAGTTGAACTATCTATCTATCTAAAATATAGATCAATATTAGTATTTCCTTAATTCTCATAAAAGTTACTTTAATCTAGGTTAATCTTTGTACATATACTACCTAGATTAAAAATTAATCTATGTTATAATTTTTTGATTTTAGCTCTTTTATTATATTGAGTACTCAACTGTTTTTGTAGGGGAAACTGGTTCAGATGTGGTGTCAATAGGGGAGGATCGCGGGTGGCGGCGGGAGGCGGAACATTGTTTCACAATGTGGTGCAGTGGACGCGTTTGTTGCGAAGGAATGTTGCTCACATTAAAACTCATCAAGGTACTGCAGTTAGGTAGTAAGTAATCTCAAGAGAAATTCTGAAATGTTTTGTTCAAATCTGGTAGCAGATTTTTCATTCAACAATTTTTTTATTAATTTTTTCCTTATTTTGCAGACAAAATTGTGTTAAAGATTTTCCTCTTTTCTGTACAAAGAATATATATTCTACTATGTAGTTCTGTAGTTAAATTTATATTTCTTTAAATGAAAATTGTTTTACTCACTAAAATTTGAGAATGAATAGATGGATTAGGCTTACTTTGTAATTAAAGTATTTATACTCTAGCAGGGTCTGGCCTTCATAAATTAATTTTATCGAACTTTGACATATAAATTTAATTCTGAAGTGGTACGAAGTTACTACTTAATAATATTTACGTTTGTAGCGACAAGACTTGGTGCATGTTTTACTGGGTGTGGTCCGACCCAGTCCGGATACTTTGCTCATTCGGGTGGAGCTGGGTAAAGACGACTGCGATCCCTTCGTGTTATGTATCGCGCAAAAGAAAATCGCCACGCGTTTTTCTAAGGAGATGCAGGACTTGGTGAGTGTTGTTGAATTTTTTTTTTATTTCTTTAACTATGTTAAAAATTTGGGTTTGTTTCGGTTGAATCAAACAAACTCTTGCTTTAGACAAGTTTGATTTTATGATTTTTCTTACTCTTGGCTTCTAAATGCTTAAACAAATTGTTAGTTATCTTTATCTGACTTAAATATAGATGATGAAGGCCTTATGTATAGCTTAGTGCAGAAGGTTCCTAAGCTTTTCATTAACTATTACCAATATGATACAACCTTAAAATGTTTTTAATACAAATATTACAAGTAAATACAGATATTGTTATTAATATGTGATGATTATTCTTGTTTTACACTAAACTAACATAAACGAAAGGTGACATGTTATATCTTAAAATAAATAAACTAATTGAATCATGAATCATCAAAAATATTAAAAAGAATCTATTTGTCTTATGTGTATGGTTCATTCGATGTCATTACCAATGTCAATAGTTAGTGACAAAAATAAATTTTATTTGCATTTAGTATTAGTAATGGAACTGTTCATATAAAATAGGGGTGTAAACAACTTTTTTATACTTTCATTTTAAAGATACACATGACATATATTTTTAAAATTATCATTCATTTATTAAGTGCAAATCTAAAAATAAATTTTATTTTCAAAATTTCCCGCGTACACGCCACTTCTGTCAAGGCGTCGCTATGACGTCATGGCACTCTGAAACAAATATCGATCTATGTATGCATAAAGGTGGAATTCTCTAATTTCTGATATGAGTAAAAAGGTCGTGACAACGAGCATTAAATATTCGTTTTTTTTTCAAATAAGCATAAAAGTAGCTCGGTGGCGTAGTGAATAAGCGCCGCGGCCCGCGATCGTAGTCTTTAAGCAACTTTCGCAAGGGTCGGTCACGGGATGGGTGACCAAAAAATTATTATCTCGAGCTACTCCGTGCTTCGGAAGGCACGTTAAGCCGTTGGTCCCGGGTGCATTTGCAGTCGTCAATACCCTCCAATCCTCATTGGGCCAGCGTGGAGGGTCATGGCCCATCCTCCTTAACCATCCATAAGGAAGGCCTGAGCCCCTGCAGTGGGGACGTAAAAGGGCTGGTGGTGATGAAGCATAAAAGTGTTATTATCGGTAATAGTAAAAATAAAATAAAAAAACAATAACGTTTACCGTTTAAATCCGTATTATAAAACGCAAACGACCGTTTGTTATCCTGAATAAAGAAATAACAAAAGGTAACGATATCGCGTGTAGAGCGTGTTCTGTCCGGACCGGCGTCCGGGCGACAAGCACGGGCTGCCGGGCGCGCTGTCCGTGATGTCCGAGTGCGCGGAGGCGACCGCCGCGGTGCTGGACGCGCGCGTGCAGGCCGCCCTCGCGCACTACCACCACCACCTGCAGTACATACACATCTCCGACCGGTACTCCGGCCCCAAGCAGATGGAGTGAGTGTTCGATGAGGAACTATTAAAAAAAAAACATTAGCTCCCGAAATCACTGAACAAATTTGCTAAAAGTCTAATAAGCTGATTGCAGATGAAAAAAAAAATTCGAAAATTTTACGGTACGTTCTTGATTTCGCCATGACAATCCGGTTTTTCTTTCATGTTTAAAAATAAATTCATTTTGCGAAACTCAATAAACAAATCATATTCTATTTGTACTTTTTCGTATTTGTATTGATATCAAAGTTTCAGACTTTGCAAATTTCAGTTTTTTTAATATGTTAGTTAAAAGGAACGGTAATGACTGGCTTTGGTCCATTCGTTTCCTGCAAAAATCAACTTTTGCTAGAGTCGCCATCTAGTGGAGGTGCTTTTTTGGTGCTTTCGTTTTTCTTAAATACATACTTCCTCATTATATTATACCGTTAAAGACCGTTTCACATAGCACGGGTACGGTGACGTCAACAAATAGTCAACAAATCCATTTTTTTTTAAATAGGGATTGATACAATAAAATCTTTTTGCGTAAAATATTAAATACAATTTGATATCATTTTGTTCTCTAAAGGTGACAACCCTGTGCATTCGCAATAATTTCGCAGATGTTTCATATTCGCACGCGATTACGTTGGTGTTGGCGTTATAGCCTGAAGTGCGAGAGTCTATTTGTTTTAATTTTTTAAAGCAGTTTTCCCCATTCAATAATGGGCCTTTTTTCACTAGTATTTTTGTATGCTTGTTTGGTTTCTTATTTTCTTTCTTAATCTAGCACATGTTATGTCATATGTTATAATACTCTATATTATGCAGTATATATTTAATTTATCTAAATACTATTGCAATTTTTCACTGTTTTTACTCATGTTATATAATTGGCCTACTTAAAATACTTCAATGCTAAAATCACAGTTTTCGTTTGCGTATGTCCTATAAAATGGTTTAATAATTCTGCCAAGTTTTATACTTCTTTTGCTAGAGGCTATTTAGATAATCGTAAATTAATAAGTGGAACAAGAAATGTTGAACTCCTTTTTGCGATCTAATTCGTTTTACTGTAAATAACCAGCAAGAACTTCGTAAAAGTTTATGATTAATAATTGTCTATCACTTGCTAAATTGGTGAATGATAATTATCAAATATTACCTTCATAATTGTTCATTTACATAGAACTCAAATTATGGCAATATTTGATTTTCTTAAATATTGTGTTAAATTATGAATAGTTGATACGACGTTTGATTTTTCATTTTATATATCTATTTATTAATGGTGAAGTATAAAGCTTGTCTTGTTGCTTAACAATAAATATATTATAATTTCGTACAGGGAACAGGCGGTCACTAAGCCTCCAGATACTGAACGGGTCCTGTTAGTGAGCCTGGCTCTGGGCCCCGACGGTGGAGGGGATGAAGTGCGACCCCTACTAATGCTCGTGTTCCATTTACTAGATAAGCTCAAGAGACTGCGACTCAGTAAGGAGGTAAGATTAAAACTAACTTTTTCAATTTAACAACAATTTCACGAACTTTATGTCACAAATTTATTTTTTGCCCGTGACTTCGTCCGAAAATTACATCACGTCTTAGGTGTCGAATTTCGTAAAATCCTGTCTTAGTGAGCATCTATGTCCTAAAAAGAACCCGAAAAGCTAGAATTAAGCACAGTTTGTTAAATGTTAATGGAAAATAAAGTTATTATTATTATTAGACTGACGTATTTAATAGGATTTCGTTTATTTTACCCATTTATCATTCGTATCATCTCACTATTATACTTTTTTCTTGTGTAGGCGCTGGCCAAATGTGAGAAGCGTCGCCAGAAAGTAGCGGAGGCGTGGCTGCGGGGCGCGCACGCCGCCAGGCAGGAGCAGGCCGCGCTACGGCGGGAGGAGAGACGCAAGCAGGAGAAGGAACGGATACTGGCGGTCGCTATATATTTATTTATTAACCATTAACTTTATTTCAATTACATATCATTCAGATCATGATTAATTATAAATATTATATTACATCATAGCTCAGATTACATTGAGTATCTAAAGTGTCCTTATTATGAAGTATCTGAGACAACGAAGTCACCATAATACCCGGAAACGGTACCGGGATTCGAATCTCAGAGATGGCAACACTTTGGAATCGGCTTGCGAACCACCCGGCTACGGAGGTTGCCAAATAATAAAAAATAAGTAAAGTTTTCCTATATGTTGTGGTTCCAAAACTCACCTCGAATACTGTACAATAATAACAAAAGAAAATCATCGCAAATCTGCTAACATCAAACGATCTGCAACAGTGAGATAAATAATGCTCGCTCACATACACTATCGGTAACATTGGCTGAAATAATTACATTATACAATCCTACTAAAATTATAAATTTTGTAGGGATGGCTGTATGTTTATTACTCTTTCAATAAAAATTACTGAACGGAATTTCATGACATTGTACCTATATGGATAACTCTAAATTTAAATTCTTAAAGAGAAAAAAAATATTACTAGATTCTTTGTTCCGTCCGTTACTTCTGTGAAATGCCTGAGCCACAATATATTTTTAATTTGACAGGAGGATGATCCCGAGAAACAGCGCCGTTGGGAGTTGAAAGAACAAAAACGCGAAAAGAAGAGGAAGACACCTAAGATGAAACAACTCAAGGTGAAGGCGATGTAAATAAGTACAATAGTCAGATTCAAATGCAATATTATTTACAGTGGATTTTGTTATTTATAGTTAAGTGTTACCTACTCAACAACCTCAAATAAATGAATTTTAAGTTGTAAATGCCTCTTTTTATTTTAACTCATTAATAGATATGCTAATTTATTTTTGAAATCATCAGCACATCATCTAACCCAAAACTTTTATCCTGATTTTGTTAGAAGTTAAGTTCGAAATCAGTCAAGACAGAAATTTGACATTTTAGGGTTGGTACAAGTCTGACGAAAGATGCGCGTACGATGTAATAAACTAAGTGAAACAATGGATTCCGGCGAAATTCACAAGGGCAACGCCATTAATTTAAAAGAATAAGAAGATGCGCGTACGGTCAGACTTTATGCGAAGTCATTCGACATGTAGTGCCACCACCCATTTCTAGCTATGACTGCAGCCATAGTATACGACATCTTAGTGATGTCATGACAATATTTCGTTAAATTTTATTACCTTATTTCTGTGGATTTTAGATTAAATTACTTGAGTTGGTCTCGTTGTTATCAAAGCCATAATCCCCATGCGTTATCATTCATTCGTCGTTAATAATGACCATGTCAAAGTAATAAGGTGATACAAATATTACCATAACATCGTTAAAATGACGACCTATCTTATGGTTAGAGCTATAGCTAAAAATACATAACAACAAATGCGTTCAGATATAAGACAAACTATCGTTTATTAGTAATAGACTACGAGTATAAGTAGGTACGTTCATAAATTTTACGATAAAGATTTTTTCGTTAAAGAAATTAGTGTTAATCCAAAAATATTTTTTCACAATTCAAAGAATGCAGACCCTAAATATAGTACGATTCTATATAATAAAGTATGGTTGGCAACCCTATTTGTTATTTAATGCCTGCAATTCCTTTATAATACTTGTACGAAGTTAGGTCAAAAAATAGGTTTTCAATCTTCCTTTTTTATAGATCATTCAAAATATTCCTGAATTCTGTGGAACTCTGCTGCTACATTTATCTCCTATCTCCTACTTGTCAAAAATGCGAAGACTAGTTTTGGTCCCCGTCCAGTGTCTCGTGAACTCCTGAAGGTTCACATGGACCACTTAGCAATCATAGGTAGAAATCATAGAACAACTGTTACAAGTATGTAGTATAGTGTCAGAATTCATTGTGAAAATAAAGCCATCGTACTTGTTTAAAGCAATGTTTATTTCAAATATTAAATAAAATAACAAAATATGTTAACAAACATAAGTATCTCTTGCTAAGTCACAATATTGAACCAGTGGTTTTGTAAGAGTTAGGTACATACACGATGTTAATTAAATGAATAATGAGATCCTTTAAGTCTTATGACTTAGCTTATTGTAATGGACTATGGTCAGATCATGGTGTGAAAATAAATAAATAAATATTGAAAAATAAAAAACACAATTTGAATTAAAACATTAATTAATGTGCTTGACACAAATGGCTTTCCCATGTAAAAACGTAAAATATTGGTGTTATATCTCATTTTGTACTTTGTAGACTAGTCTACTAATACTGTTAAATAGTTACAATAATGTAATAGTAAAACAAATCACTTCTGCTATTTTACTATAAAATTTATATGCACAGCAAAAATATTTTTCACTCAAATTGACCTAATCAGCGCTTTCTGTGACTTAGGTAAAATTATAATAAAATCATTCTTAAAATACTAAGGTGGTACATATGCAGTTAGGGTAACCATCAAAATCAATAAAATTCTAAAAGTTAACAACCTCATACAAGTATTGAATAAAATTTGGATACAAAATTATTATCCCTTACATTATGATGCATATTATTTTACCCAATCTAAACATATTGAGCAATTTGCATATTAGATAGTGTAACAGCTGCATAAAGATTTCTTATTCAAACTGTACTCACATGCAAAATCAATTAATATTATTTATTAATTGCAAAACAGACACTGGTGATCACACAACATTGAAATACCTATTATATCTTGTTTGCATGTTCTACACATGTAAACATAATTAGGAACATTGAACTACGATTTAGCAAATTTTGATGTCTTTATATTACCAAGAAACCTGCATGACAAATGACATTCTGACAATCTTATCAATATCATATAGAATTTCCCTAAACGCATACATATGTGGAAGTGACTTAATCTTTAAATAATTTGAGTATTTATATTTAAGGAAGATTCTTTATGATGGCACAGATTGAATCTAAATGAAAAAATGAGTATAGTTATTCTCATTTGGTCTCTGAATTAGATGCAAAACAGAGGAATATGATATCAAAGTTACACAACACAAATTGTTTGGAAAAACAGTTTGGTATTGTTTTACAAATTGGTTAATTGTTTGATTCTAAAATACCAACTGATAGTTTTTAGAGCTTAGAAATTTCTATGAGCAGATTACTAGTTAATGTTCTTGTAAGTGGCAATAAAAAAAGAAAACAAGTAGTAATTGTGTTAGTCAGAACGACCTCTATCCACGGATACATCCACATTAAAAACATCCATGAATATTAACTACGACTACCCAATCATAAAATACATTATGGCATCACCAGATGGACTGCTGTCATTCATCTACCTGTAATTTTTGAATTCTTGTTGACATACAGTCCATGTCTGGGGAAACCTCAGAAGCAGGTTGTGGATCGACTAACAGGTTAAGGTTCTCGAGTGATTGACATCGTTTTGTAGTAATTTTCGCACAGTCGTGTGTGCCAAGTCCACTCGTAGATGGTTCCACAACTCCGTTAAAATCGCATCCACCATCATTCACATCACTAATTACAGCGTCAGAATTCTCACTCTTAGTTCTGTGCCTCACTGGTAGAACGTAAGGGCACAACCTGTTTTTGTTTGTCATTCTTCTCATACAATAACCGACGGTGACGTTCGATACGTACCGGGAGCTATACCTCATCGGGCTAGCTTTTGATTCACGCAAATAATCGCGTCTAGCTTCTGTTATAGCACTAAGCATCCCGAGATCGTGTAAAGCTTTATCCAAATTCTGTATGTTCATGTGGTGGCGAGGTTTCTGTAACAACGTAATTATTCAGTAACACAAACATCTTCATTCATTGTATCTCATTTAATTATAAATCGATAACATTTCTTACACTCTTTTCAAATTCATTGCATTTCATTCTGAATGGAACGGAGGCGAAATTTAGGAAACGTGCATAAAAAATATTGAAAATAAACACAACAAAAAGTCATAATATTGAATGACAGCAATATTGGTGGTGTTGTCATTCATGTCATCGCTTGCCAGTTGCCACAAAATAAAAAAAATCTTACCTTGCTTCTTTTTAATTTTATTCCTTTTGTTTTCATTTATATATAAAGTACAAAAGTGAGTGTGTTGGATACAGTTGGATATCTTATGAGTTGCTTTCCCGCGAGATCGAGAGAAAAAAACAGTTTGAGATTATTTAAATGTAATTTCGGAATTAATAAAAAAATACTTATTACGTCTAAAATATTCTTTTTTTGGCTACTCTACGACCGTCTTTTAAGTTAAGGTACCATACCAACAAAAAAACAATATACGTGTTTGAGGTAATAGAAGTTAAAGTATGAAATTAACGATTTGTACTGTAAATGAAAATTGTTTATTTTTTAATTTTTAACTAATTTTTTTAATCAAAATAGTTACCATTATTATCTATACATTGCTGCTATTTAATAGGGAGGTCATTTATGCCTGCGATAGACCTCTGAGGATCAAGACTGCACAAACTGTGTGAAAGCATTTTGTACTGCCTCCTGAGAAGAAAACTTCTTGTCACGTAGATAATTGTCCAAATCACGAAAAAAATGGTAGTCCGTTGGAGCAAGGTCTGGCGAATACGGTGAATGACGAATGGTTTCTGACTGCAGTTCCTGAAGCGTCAAAACGGTTTCCCGTGCTTTATGAGGTCCCGCGTTGTCATGGAGCAATGGTGAAGATCGATCCATGAGTCGGGGCTGTTTTACTGCTAGTTTTGCCTACATTGTTCGGAGTTCGGCACAATATACATCTGCCGTTATTGCTTGACCAGATCGGAGAAAACTATAGTGAATAACACCATGCTGAGACCACCAAACAATTACCATTACCTTTGTATTGGTAAGTTTTGCTTTAGGACACTGTTGTGGAGTTTGACCTGGGTCAGCCAATGCATTTTTCTTTTACGGTTATCATAAAGAATTCACTTTTCATCACATGTCACAATTCGATCCAATATTCATTCATTTCTGTACCGATTCTTTCTGCAGATCAGTCAAATCATGAGGCACCCATTTTAATCATCGTTATTCATCTGTGTGGGCGGTCTTCCTCGTGGCTCGTTCTTCAAGTCGAAGTTTCCATCACGGAAGCGTTTAAACCAAAATCACACGGTTCGTTTTTAGTAGAACCCTCTCCAAACGCAACATTGATATTGCGGGCTGTTTCTGCCGCGTTACTTCCGCGTCGGAACTCATATTCAAAAATCACTCGAATTTTCGCAGTATCCATCCTTCTTGTCTAAGTTGAATTAAAAAAAAAAAACAATTGAAAGTCGATATTCAAATGTTTCACATTTTTTAAAAGAAAAACTATATAGAAACCACGTGAATAAAGTTTCTTTCGAAAATCTCAAACCATGAATATTCTATGTCAATTCAAGGAACCTATTATAATAAAACGGCAATACCATATTTTAACCCCTAATATTTATCAAAGATTCACGCGACCATTAAATTAATATATGTATAGAGATCTGTGCAACAAATAATACTTATTTCACATATGGGCTTCTTCGGCGAAAGATGCGTGCACTGGCCACTTCAATAAAAAAAATAGATAAGCACGACATGTTGTCATGACGCTAATTACTCCCATAATTTTATGTTCTTTGCAGACAATAATATAGAACAAGTGCAATTATTTGCTGTGAACTAAATATTATATTAATTAAGCCATAAAATAAAAATCGAAGAAGTATAATTTGCGCTTGGCTAATCGGATTTGTTAATTCTCCTTGTCTAGTGTGTAATTGAGTTTATAATGGCCGAAATTTTAAAGGAATGGCTAACGGAAAGATTAAGGCGACCAATAAAATGGGAAGCGGAGGAGTTCGGTGACCTCATGAAAAATGGTCAAATTATTGCAAGTGTTTTACTGAGTTATAATGTAATAAATGAAGAAAAGCATTTTTTAATCAGATCAAGTAATGCTACTGAAGATTTAAACAATAATTGGAAATTCTTGATTGAATGGCTACGAGATGTTGAAGTTTATATAAACGATACTGACCTAGCCAGCATCAAAGAAGGTAAAGGGACTGCATTATTAAGACTTTTTTACCAGTTGTTTCTTCACTTAGATAAGAGAGATCGCACAAACTTTATTAAACGCGAAAGAAAAATGGTTTCCACTCTCGTCGACAAGATGAAAAACAGGTTTACTGTACAGAAAATATTATCAGAAGAACAGTCTCTTGTTGATAATCTTTCAAAACCTTTACTTGATGAAAGGCAGTATATTGAATGGCAAAAGAAAAAAAGTGAGCAAGTGAAAGATACCTATGACTATATTCGTCATAGATATTCAAAAACGTTATCCCGGATTGAAGAATCTAAAACCCCTTTGTGTTATATGAAACAAACATCACATCGAATTCCTAATACCACTAAAAATGAAATGGAAAAGTTCGCCTTGCGATACCCGTGCGAATTTAAAAATTACACATATGAAGAGCTTCTTGAAATGGAAGAAAAATCTGCTCAGCGAAAACAATCTATGACTGGTTCTGATTGGGTGAAAGAATATATGAATAATTTACATACAAGAATGAACAAGAAGTCAGATGCTAAAGAATTTCAAACACAGATTAGAAATGTCCTTAGCGGCTCTTTGTGGGATCTTTCTGTGGCTGAAGAAGAGGATAAACAGGATAAAGAATTAGCTAAAAAAGTGATGAAACTCTCACAATTCGAAAAACAAATGTGCACAAAACTAATGGAAACAAAACAACAAGCCCGAAATTTAGCAAAAAATAGAATTCGTGCTGAAAAAGAATTTACTGAGCAAAGAGAACAACAGTTTCATCAATTTTTGGACAATGTAAAGGAACAAATAAATTTGGAAGTTGCGGAAATAAATTTTGAAAAACAAAGACAGAACATGTTACATCAAAAATTGTATGCCGAAAAAATGAAACGAAAACGCCAGCACTATTATGAAATATGTTACGATACCATGTTATCTATTGTAGACTATGCAACGAAATATGCTTATTTTACAAAACTAATTGGTGATGAAATTCCAAATCATTACATCCATGAATGGAAGACGTTATATTTTAAACAGCAACCAGTTTTTGATATACTTGACCCAATGGAAGATCTATTAAAGGAGCCAGATTTTGAAGAAGAAGTTGCGCCCGAAGTTGAAGAAATTATAAGGCTAGAACTAGACCGACAAGGAGTGCTAAATGACAGCGATTTCAAAGAATACCATAATTATTCATATCCTTGGACGTTAGATATATTAATACCTAATTATGATCCTGAGTCGGAGGAAAGAAAATATGAATATCTTGGTACTAGAATATTAGGACATCTGGTTTACACATTGTTAGATATGAAATACCCATATCCACCTCCACGGCCACCAGCAGCACTGCCCGAGTATTCAGCTAAAGCTATATTACGAGGACTTCCAGATCGGTCTATGACTGTAGCAATGCAAACTTTACTTAATTTGCGAAAGATATTTGTTTTACGTCTAGAATCAGCTGTCAACTATTGTTTAAAACAGTTCAAAATAGAGATGGTTGGTTGTACAGACATTGAACTCTCTTATGATAAATTAATTGCCGCAGCTAATGAAGAAGAAAATAAAGAGCTTATTCGATTAATGAAAGTTGATGAAGAAATTATGAATAAGTCAAATGAACCATATGTTCCTGCAACATCAGGACCTTTGCCGCCTAATACCAAACAAACCCAAACCCCAAAAACAATACCAGAAGAAGATATTGTTCTATCACCAGCTGCTGAACTCGGACGGTACACTTATGAAACTCTTAATTTTGGAAACTCTTTAACTGATCATCTATTAGCTGCCATGATTGTCGAATATTTAAAAGATCAGTCCGATATGAAAGGTTTTGTTATCATCAATTATCCTAATTCTTACAGAGAAGCTCAAATATTAGAAGAAGCATTTTCTGGTCATGCTCCTCCGGACGAGGGAGAATTAGATGATAGAGACGATATTTACTTGGAAGAGAGTATTACTAAACATAGAAAAAAGGAAAAGGATCCATACAAAGAAATAAGAGTTTCAAAGCTAGTCACTGATCCACATAAGAAACGAATTGAGAAACCATTTCAAAGTTATTTCACCTGTTATATTAGACTTATAGAAACTCAGGATATACTTCAAGAACAAGTACTTTGGGATTTAACAGAAGAAAATTCGGAGCTTATCGATAGATTTTATTCCGTACTAGGTATAAATTATAGTATGTATTATGAACTGATAGAAAAAGATTTTCTAGCACAGATATGTAAATACATAATTGGCGATATCTTGCCTTTGATATCATGTGACTTATTATTTGGCGAAAACGTTTTGAGCCTTCTTGATTTTCCTAGTTCAGATGATAAAAGAACAAAATCAAAAATAGTTAAACCTGAAACGTCTAATGGAAAATCAAAAGAGAAATTACGGCGTGCGTCAAAATTAAGCAAAACTTCAATGTCCAAAAATGAGTTAGAAGTTGTAAAAGCTTCGGATTCTATTGAAGGAGAAAATGATGGAGTCATTATGAAATCTGATGAGGCTATTGGAGAAACCGACAGTAGACAATATTCGAGTTCAGAAGATATTAAAATATTGCCTGGCGAGGAAGACTGGGATTATGGAGAAATTATAATAGCAGAAATAATAGGTATAGCATTGGCAACATGCTGGGAAGAAATAGAAAAAACATATATTAATGATATGAATAATTTATTTTTTGCTAAGCGTTTGCAAATGAATTGCTTAATTCCATATGCGAGATTCATAAAAGATAAAATGGAACAGATTATTACTTTACCATCGTTCAAACAAGATATAGTTACTCAATTTCAAAAGGAATATAATGATTTTGAGAATGACTGGCGACATATCAATCTTACAAAAAATGAATGGCATTGCAGGGTCAAAGAATTACAGAACAAATTATATAACATATGCGACGAAAGAAAATTATTTGCTGAGCAGCAGAGACAAGCTCTTATTTCCGAAAATTGGACAATGGAAGAATTAACCTCAATGGTTAATACTTATATTTCATGTATGCAGGTTGAATTAAACAGGTAAAACTGACAGTAATTTTCATGACCATTAATTATGCTCATCGCTAGTAGACAATATATATGTGTATAATGGAAGTATACGATATAGGTCGCTTATGAATAATATTTTTTGTTACAGATCTATATTAACATACCAAGCACTTCATGACTTTTATTTTGCTATGATAAAACATATGCCTCCAAGTGATCGACTTTCTTCCAAGGAATTAACTAAAATATATAAGGAATCTGACGAAACTTCTGGAAGCAGGAAAAGTGGCGAAGATAAAGTATTCAGGCAATTAAAATTAGCTTTTCAAGATTTACAACTGAAAAATATACAAATAGATTACAGTAATAATCCATTCAATATGATAATTGAGAATAATGTTAAATTTGCTATAAAGGTTATCAAAGATACGAATGATTCATATCGCTCACTCATTAGTCGAGAATATAGTGAGATAGCAAAGATTGTACCTCCAATAAAGAAGAAAGAAGAGTTAACATCAGAAGAGTCTATCAGTGAGGAAGAAATATTTAAATTAAATGCTTTGAAATGCATTGATGAGTGGATAATGGGAATTAATGGTGAGATGTATCGTGCATGTTTGCGAATGCTAGCACTTCAGTACAAATGTTATCGCGATATGAAATTATTTAATGATCACATTTATAAAACATTTGTCGATGTGCAAAATGACATTAACTCTTATTATGCTAACGAAATTACAGCTGTAGATAGACTATGTAAATATCTTCAAATGGCTATAGAAGGTGGTAGAAGAATCCCCGAAAGTTTGATACTTGAACATGACACTTTCATAATTGACCCAAATCTCGTTCAATTTTCACCATCTGTACAAAAATTGGGACAAGAGGGAATGAAAGAAATTGTCATGGATATGGAATTTAAATTAAATCAACTGGCAAGATTGAGGTCAGCTTTCAAAATTATCGCACCAACAGGGTTGGCTTTACAACAAGCTTTTATTTATACGGTCCAAGACATCCTATGCTTTGGAAAAGAATCTTGTGATGGTCCCCTTGTTCCTGAAGCATGGAAACGTATTGATCTAGAGCAGATTCCTAAACTAGTATATTCATTATTTGGAGAAACAGCTTACGTTGACTGGCGAGATTTTCTTATCTATTGCTTAAACATTCGTTTTCCAACGGTAGATGAATTATTGGATGTTCGTAAGAAGTTCAGGTGTATTGACATAGATTCTACCGAACTTATTTCCAGAGATAACTTTATTAACGAAGAGCTTTGGTATGAAAAAGATATTGATGAAGAGAATAGTCCTATGGAATTGAGGAAAAATTTGATAAAGCATTTTCTATTTGAATTATATGAAACAAAAACAGATCAAATGAATTATTCTGCGTTTCTCTTAGCTTTTTGTAAGAATGCAGATCCGATTGAAGGCTTTGTGACTGCACTGTCAATGGTAATCGGTAAAAAGACGTGTCACTCTCTTGAAGACTGTGAGGAGGTTATTTGTAAACTAATTAAAGAAAAGCAGTATAGAGATGAATGTTTAGCATGTGCTCTCAAATGTACTAATCAATTCTTGGATAAATTAATTATTGATGTCTTAAATATATGCGAAGGGACTTCAATTATTGAAATGGAATATACTGAGCCTCCACCAGACACTGACAAAAAGGGTAAAAAAAGTGCCAAAGGTGGAGCAAAAGCAAAGAAAATGGAGAACTCACAAAGTGCCCGCATGCCAAAGGCACAGAAGAGTATAATTGCTAGCAGGAGTAAACTAGCTCAATCTGAAACAGATTTTAAAACTACATTTATATGTCGACCTTGTGAGGATGAGGCGGAGAACTTAGAGGAAAAATCACCAGAAAAAGAGGAGGTTGAAGAAGAACAAAAGATTGAAGCTCAAGAAGATATCAATTTAGCATACTCTGTAAGTCAGGAGGCTATATGGAGAGTGCTAAAAACTTGTTTACCGTGGCACTTTGTTTTGATTCCTGAAGAAAAGGTGACTCCTTATACTGAAGAAGTTAAGAAAATTTTGAAGCACTTGGAAGTAGACACGGATAACGGAGATATTTATATTTGTAAATTTGTCACCGATCCATTCTTTTGTAAATTGTTGCATAAAGTAAATAAATTTACAGCTCTCAATATTGCGGAAGAAGTGAGAAAAATTACCCTGTAGAGATATATCGTTTTATAAATAAATAGTGTAAACAAGATCAAGCTTAGTTTAATTAATGTTTATAGTTGAAAGGGTTGACATCGGTTAGGATATGGGTGTAAAGTCTTTTCTTAAAAATTGTAATGAGGCGGTACTGCACCGTCTTGAGGCCTTCAGATTTATACCTGTTTCGAGCTTTTGCCAATTTCTTATACCTGAAAAGAATACAAACATAATTTGATGATTTGTGGGTGCTCATATCTTATAATTCACATTGTCAAATTGAATTTTGTTTCTCTAAAAGTAATTTTTACCTAAATTATATTTTCTCTGAAAATTCATCGATGTCGGCAAAAATGCGGGTAAATAATTTTCTCTTTGTGATGGATATAAGTTTGTATTTTAAAGTATTCAGACCTTCTGACACTAAGCCCTCGCTTAATATAGCGTTTTTTAAAGTATTGTATCTAAAAATCAATAATATTACGATTAAAATTTCATGTTTGCTCAAATCATTAAAATTAGGTATAGTCAATAATATAATTGCAGTGATATGGAAATAATCCGAAATTCAAAGTTTCCTTATTTAGAAGTCCTAGCTTAGTTGCTCGTCCACGGTGGAGAATCAGCGCGTTAGAAATACAGAAACATTAATTCATAAACAATACATATTTACTACATATCGATAAATATATTAAATCAGGGGAATTTTATATGGTTTAATGTTGAAACTGGTAGTAAATAAAATGGGGACGAGCTTTCAGGAAACAAAATCTCTTAAGTACAACCACTATCAATGTAAAAGTAAACCTTGTATTTATATTCCGATGCATAATTTGTTTGACCGGAATATTATATTGTGGCTATATGAAATGAAATTATTACCGATTCGGATTAACAAGCTGCGGCTTATGTGGTAGGGTAGCGAATCGAGCTATCGTTGAGTTCAATCTTGATAAAGACAGCCTTGCTCCTACAAGCCTGGCGACAATAGAGATACAAAGCATAGATTTTTTTTTTAATTAATTATAAATCTATAACTCGGAAAAGGGTTGAAAGTATACTTAAAAACTTAGTAAATATATGAATATAATTAATAATTATCTATATTAAAAGGCAAACTTGACTTACATATCAATGCACTAGCGAAACTACTGTATCTAGAAACTTGAAATTTGGCCCATGTGCCCCTGTCCTTCATGATGTGAGTGAGCTCTAAGATATTTAGTAATTTAATGCCTACAGGGTTGAAGTACGCGGGCGAAGCAGCTGGCGGAAAGCTAGTCATTGAATAGATTTAACAGAAATGCTCGTATGTTACTATAACTTAATCTGAAGAACGGTTCAGCTGATTTGGCTAATTTTGGTTTAAATATATTTGTAGAAGTTCAAAGAAGGTTAAAATGACATAATATAAAGAAACTGAAAAAATAATAAAAGCAAAAATTTTATTTTTCCTTACAAATTATTTTTCCTTGTGCATACCTAACTGACAGTGTGCGTTACATTAATTTGATAGAACGTTGACATTGTTTAATTTAAGGCCATCGCTGAGCGCCGCTGTGTTAAAATATAAAGGCGTAGGTGCTAATCATAAAAGTCCTAAATATTTTTTTTCATAATTATGCGCTAGTCATGCTTCATGCAAACTGTGCAGGTTTTAAATTTATTTGTTTTATTTTAAAATAAAATCCATAGTAGTTTTTATCTTTATAATAGAAGTACGATTTTATGGTTTCGTTATTAAGTTTGTATCCAATTTTTGGACATCTTGCATCTCACTATACCCAAAGTAGTTCCCATACCTGTTAAACATATCATCATCTTCTCCACCCCAATCCCAATAATAGTTGGAATAGCCATTAACTGCGAGGTAATGTCGTGGACTCATTGCTGTGACACCACCGAATAGTGTGTAATATTGCAGCCTGTGAAGTTTTTAACTTTTGTTTTCAGACATACAAGAAATCTTTAAGGAGGAAGACCTAAACAAGTTACAACGGCTCATACGTTTAGTAGTTTTTTCAGCATTTCTTCTGTAATGAAATCTCGAACTCGACGTAGTACCATACTGCCACAGCCAGTGACGTAACTACAGGGTGGCAAGTCGGCAAAATGCCTCGGGCCCCCAGCTGGAAGGGGCCCCCGTTCAGACGAGACTCCTTACTCCTGACATTTATTATTACGCAATTAGTAAAAAAAATAATATCTGATTAATTTGCCACGGGCCTCAAACGGTATAGTTACGCCACTGGCCACAGCATAGAGCTTCAAAGAAATAAAACTATTTTTTATTTGTTAAAGTAGATTTTATTTCATTGAACCTTTATGCTGTGAGTGGACTGTACTAGATGAAATTCTTTTAGACAGCCTTTTGACGGAGAGGGTTTGGATATATCTCATTAAAATATTATAAGTAAATGTATACTAAGTCAAGGCGGAACTTAGATAAGCGATAGGCAAAGCAATAAAATGTAATCGCTCCATTTTCCGAGACGAAAGTTTCTTCTCTGTGATACATAGAAAAATGTATCCTTTTCAGTTGTAGTTAATAGTTGAGTAACAAAACCTCTGCTTTAGAAAATATGATTCTGATTATGTGGAATAAAATAATACAAAGTGAAAGGTAAAATTCTAAATGAACTCAACCTTTTTGCAGATATAATCAATTGGGTACGTTGATATCTCGTGTTAGGCAGTTCCAAGTATGAAGATTGATAGAAAATATAATTACTAGTTTAATCAACACACTCACGTAAAATTATTAGATTCTACTGCTGGGGACATATGTATGGGGTTCCTTGGACATGTGTATAGAAGCCTCTCATCTAATGGTATCAAGTCAACATCATGGAAGACCAAACAGTCCCACGTTCCAAATCGCTGAGTCTCTATAAACCCTATGTTGTACAAAGCTCCTTTATTAAATTTGTAATTTCCTGAAATACATAATTTTTCAGAAACCAATTTCAAAAAGGGGAATGTGAATAATTCATTTTATGTTTTTAGAGTTTTTAGAATTTCACGAAAGATTCATCAAGCGTTTCACGGAAGTATGCGCTAGCATTAGAACGTGATCAATTTTCCATCAGATATGCACCGATTCTTATAAGGTTGGGGACTTGAATGAAAACAATGTTTTTTTTTTTGAAAACAAATTAAAAAGTTTGAAAAAAAATGTAATAAAATCCCAAACAGTAGTTATACAATTTGATTATAGACATACAGCCAGTTGCACATACATACATTATAATTGTCATTAGTTTAAAGCGACATTACCCATACTTATTTGTCATTCATTAGAGATCAAATGCGTCATTAAACCTTAATGGACGTTTGTGCAACTGACCGTATAATTTACATTTAGAAGCCATAAGCTAAACGTTTGTGTAGCGTCTCCTTTATAAGACAGGAAAGCTACTTGAACTCCTTTCTCCTGTGTCGAAACAAAAGAAAAAGTTTATAATTTTTTTCATTATTTACTTTTTATGAACATTCTGTGGTATAATTAACCTTATGTGTAGAAAAATACTTAAAAAAATTACCCATCTTAGACGCCCGAGGTGATATGGGATAGATCATATCATATTTTGAGAACATATTTTTCTATATGATAAAAAATATCAATGTAGCATTGGGAATGGAAAAAAATATGAATATAATAACTTACCAAACTGTTCTATAACAAATACTCTATAATGCAAATTTTGCTTTTGCCAAAAAGGATGCATGTGATGAAGGAATATTATCAAATTGTCAAATCGGTCTCTGAAATAAATATATTTAATTATATTCTATTACATATAAATGTACCTACATAAGAATAAAAAATGTTATAACTAAACGAGATTTTAGGATTTTTTTTATTTTTTATTATGGGATAGGGGGCAGACGAGCAGACGGATCACCTGATGGTAAGTTATTACTGTCGCCCATGGACACCTGCAACACCAGAGGGGCTACAAGCGCGCTGCCGGCCTTTGAGGGACGGATATGATCATAGGGAGGGAAGGGTTGAGGGGTAGAGGGAAGAGAATAGGGAGGGGTTGGGCCTCCGGTACCCTCACTCACACGACGAAACACAACGCAAGCGTTGCTTCACGTCGGTTTTCTGTGAGGCCGTGGTATCACTCCGGTCGAGCCGGCCCATTCATGCCGAAACGTGGCTCTCCCACGGACAAAAATTTTCGAACGGATTTTCGAACTTGCGTCTTCTGACATGGGTGCGGTCAGGGGTGCGATTTGCCTGAAGCTTTATGACTCTAGCCGTAGTTCTAAAAAGTTTTTATCGGTGAATACGGATATTTTTTTATTATTTATGTAGGCATATATAGTTATATATTTTGGTTTATTTCAGTTTACAAAAATGCTTCGTTTGTCTAAATTAGATATTTTTGACAATTTCTTGATCACGTTTTAATGTAGTCAAAATTAACTGTACTGTAACTGTTCCGAATAAAAAACCCGGCTAAATACGTTCCAATATTAATTTTAGTTCAACAGTGCGATTCTGTTAAAAACACTCTACCACGACGACGGGGGCAGCTCTGTCAGACCCAAAGAGAAAAATAATACATAGGGAAGTAGAGGTTGAATAAAATAGAACGTCTTTAAAAAGGTAATCTAGGTTTTATTTAATTGAAGCTCTAAGCCGTGATAGCGCTGCGTTCGTCGTCGAGTATGAAGCTGTTTTTTTAGCACAATAGCATCGCGTGAATCTAACGACGGTCAAATATCGCGAGTTGATTTTCGGGGTAAGACTGTTTATATAGAACAAAATAACAAATTATCTGTCAGCAGTAGTAGCGATTCTAAGGATTGCTTTCATTAATAAAAGCCAAATCGTTTTGTTAAAAGCATTACGGAAGCCTCAGTCGGATTTGAATTTAAAAAGCTTATCAACATCTCCGTAAAATAACATACCTGTACGGAATCAAGATTGCAACTTTATGTCTCGACTTGCATTGCTCAGGCGCATAGAAGCCTCCAGGACGAACAGTGGGATGCTGATCCTCGACCCACTTCAGGTCCAACTTGCTTTTATCCACAGTCCGTGGGCCTAATGTAAAAAATATAAGAATTCAGATATTTGTTAAAGATGGTTTCTTTTCGACGAGATCGATTTCCCACTTTTAACGTGGCGAAACAAATTAAATTTTTTCTTCAACCATAGAACTGGGACATAAGGTGTATGTAGGCACTGTTCTATCGTTTTAGTCAGACAATATCTGTGGCTAACGACGTCTAAAGTTGCTTCTTTACATAATCATATAGGTATTTCAAAATTGACGCCTGAATGGTAATACTGGCTTCTATATTAAGTCCGAATAAAAACTCGCATCGAACGGATGGCTTCAAGCACTTGTAAACCTACACAAACCGAGTCATATATTTAAATTTTTTGTAATGTGATGTTGTGGCTTAACGAGAATACGGGCGTGGCATTAGATAGCGTTAGATTTGTCCTAGTCTGGTGCTAGTTTAGCGTCCGGTGTGTTTTATTAAGAATTATTAAATTATTTAATTTATAAAATTTACGTAATCAAACCTAAAGATTTCATATTGATGTAACATATAGGGGTATTATTATTGTACTCCGGATTTTCTGCTTTACCTGAAAAGAAAATATTTTATTTATTTACTTAAACTTTAAAATGTAAAATGTCAGCTGTTAAAATTAAAATGTACAAATGACGGTCTTAATGCAATGGGGCATTCTTTACCAGTCAACCGGAGAGTTGTAGCAGAAAGCTTAAAAGGCGGTGTAACAATGAAACAGAGAAACAAACATTTTCAATGTGAAAAATAAAATTACATACTACATTGGTATTTAGATATTGATCTATGCATAAATTTACATATACATACAGATATTTTCAAATTATTTACCCCGGTTACTCGTATCATCATCAGATTAAATAAAAGTTATAATAATTATAATAATAATAATATTCTTTATTGCACAAATATAGGACACATTATAAAGAAAGAAAAGGTATCAGACAGTATACAAAAAAACGGCCTTATCGTTATGCAGCAATTTCTTCCAGGCAACCAATTGTAATATAGAAAACGTAGATAAATAATATTAATGATGATGAAGGGGAGTACGTGCAATAGCGACAGGAATTAAATTGATATACCTAAAGAGAAAAAATAGATAATGTATATAAAAGAGAGGTTTAAAAGTTGGAAAGAAAATAGCTTTTCACTTCTGCGTCGAAGGATCACAAAGTACGAGCCTTCCTAATAGTTTCTGATAACGAATTCCAAAGCCGAACTAGCTTAGTGCGGTTAATTTTGATCCATAAGCCCTAAATATTTTAATTATACTATATTTTTGGCTAGGTAAACATTAATATACGCTTATTAGTACATACCCAAATCAATAAATCTATAGTTCATTGCCATGAATCGCTGGTACGACATCAATCGTCGATGGTAATTGAAGCCTAAAAACCATAAAATAGATTTTTAAATGATAATTTATTAGGTGCATAGGTTGGTGATTACTTCTTTGCGTATTACAAAGAAGTTAACATCTAACGAAAAATCTCTTATGCAAAAACATAACAGTAAAATAAAAAGATTGTTCAATAGAAATAATGCGAATGAATGCGGTTATAAATATTTACCCTAGGGGCAATTCACGTCCAATTATTTATACTATGGGTATGTTCCGATATACACTGCGACCATTGAACAGTATGACGTCAATTTAGTATACTGGAAGCCCGTTCCTTTATAGCTAGTTATACTGGTGACTTTTTAAAACGGAACGCAGTCCAGTATACTGTTAATTCTATTTTTTGGCGCCATTTTCAAATTTGTTAATGCAAGGTGAATATAAATATAAAGATTCCCTCTTTTCAAAAGAAAATTGGAAAATTGTATAAAAAAATTATTTATCAATTAAATCCATCTTATAAATAAACGTAAGTAATTTTTTTTTTGTTTATTTAGAAACTTATCATTTTCTGATTCTGTTTCGACTGATCACGTGATCAAAAGCACTGCGAGCACCTTACCTCGAAATCTCCAGTGCTCACAGTACAAATATGGCGGCAATTTATGACGTCATAAATTTCCCTAGGGTACTGTAGCAGTGTACTGGCAGTCCATAACGGAACGGATTTTTCAGCAGTAAGACCACTGTGCAGTGCTCGCAGTGTATATCGGAACATACCCTACGCTATTAGATTTCAAACACCCTTGGTCAAAATATGGCTATGGATGAATAAAATATATGACCATAAACATTATTTAACCTTTATAATGCCAATAACATTATACATTTACAAACTATGTTGGTTTGTACTAGTGACAATACTTGGACTGTATTGCAGTTAGGGGAAATAAATAGGGATGGACTAACGTAAATAGTACCTGAGATTAATTCAGTCGAATACTAATTAGTCTATTAATTTAATAGTTTATACTTTCAAATGATTATTTATGATACACGAACTACGCAAGCTATATTAATAAACTTAGATTATAATAAAAGTATGTATTTATCTACTTACGTTTCTCAAAAATGAACGGTCCAAATCTCTTTTGAATATTTTTTAGTGAATTTTCACACTTATATACAGAATTATAGTAATATTGCGAATATATAATAACTAAGGCAAATAAAACACCCAACCAAAGATACGTATTCTTAGGTTTAATTTTATACGAGTATGAGCAAAAACACAAGACAATGAATTTTAAACCGCAATACCGGGTCATGTGGTACATGTTTATCGTTAGAAAACTTTCAATGAACGAAATAATTTTTCAGGTTAGTAAAGAATTATTATAGAAACCAAAATAATATGTTTTCTTTATCTAATACATCGATGAAATGAAAACGAAATCTACGAAACCAAAACAGATTTCTGTAGCGGATGTTTGTTGCAGACTGTGTTACATGTTGTCATATATTTTGTTGTTTAGCTTCTAGTAAAGGTAACATCCTTTTATTGCAAATTGGTATAAAAACATTTCGTTCTTTTTAGCAAACGAATTTTTAAAATCGATATACAAAGTTCAAATAATTTATTCAGTCTAGGCTGTTATAAACACTTGGGATAGTCGAACCTCTTTGAACGAAGCAAAGGCTTTTTTCTTCCTGTTACATACAAAGAGGTCAAATTGAAAAGTCACTTTCTATTACAATAATAATAAAAAAAAACCTATATCAACCGATTCACATGCCGTGTCATAATACTCTTCATATCACTACATAGTATAAAACAAAGTCGCTTTCTCTCCCTATATCCCTATGTTTGCTTAAATCTTTTAAACTACGCAACGGGTTTTTTTTATAGATAGGGTGATTCAAAAGGAAGGTTTGTATGTATAATACAAGACCACGCGGGCAAAGCCGCTGGCGGAAAGCTAGTATTTAATAAACGAAAATGGACAGAAGTAAGCAGTCCTAGAGCCGACTCATCTTCAACAGGAGCACACATTCACGAGCTACGCATGAGCGTAACGACTCATCCAACACGACACCACCACTGAAATTTTTAATAAAATATCGAGATGACTTAAATATTACTTAAATTTAAAATAACGTGACGGGAGAAAAAGACTCCCCGATTGATTGATTTCAAGTGAAATTCATTCACTCCATGCTATTGCAGTAGTCAAAGTGAGATAGCATCTTTACACAGATGTAATACTCCGCCACTTTAACGACGACGGCGTGTGTCTTGAAATTAAAATGATGTTGATTACAAAATTCAAGAAAACGACGAGTGGTAAGGGCCTAAATATTCTAACATATAAATTATTTAATAATAAATATTATTATTTAATAATAAATATTATTATTTAATAATAAAGCGTATTTTACAGATTATAAAATAGAAATACTTAATTACCTATCTCAAGAACTTTATGAATTACAATGTTTAGAATATATTGTATTAAAATGAACGGCATTTAAAGGAAATTATTAGAACTTAGCGACCTCGTTCGCAGGGCAATCAAGATTGTGTAACTCATTTAATTAGATTATCCTATTCTCATTAAGGTGGCTCAATAAGTAATGGCGAGCAATTAAACGAAAATACAGGTTATTCAGCTAACGAAGGTTATGAATTGTTTTAATATTTAGCCTGCTTCAGGAGGAAAAAGAAAAAAATATGTCAGAATAAACTTTAGACTGGTCAAGTGCGAGCCAGACTCGCACTGACAGGTTTCCTTACATTTAAGACTTTATGCATAAGTTTTAAAATAAAAAATTGTAAAGGATTGCAAAACGGATAAAGATTACGAACCAGTTTAATGAAATTGTATAGTGATATACCGTGGATATACCTAAATTTAATCATGATGCATTTAACGGTTAATTGAAAAAACAAAAAAAAACGGTTTATCACGTGTAGTCTTAAAAATACCGCAATTTTCAGACACTCAGATCTTTGTTCACGTAGTGTAAGAGATTGGGTCTTTTAATAATTTTATTATCTTCTCTTAAAAATTTAATGAGTAGCACATGAAAATTTAAGAAATCAGTATAAAAAAAAATATTCTTCTTATAGGTTGTAGAAGTTCATTTAAATAGTGATTTTATATTAGGTTCTTCTTTATCATTGTTATCTTTTTATATCTTTTTGTGTGTGAATGTCAGTAAAATATTTTCTATTTTTGTGACATTATGCGATATCAATTATACATAATAACTGTTATCCGAAGAATTATTGTTAAAACATTTAATGAATTTGGGCGGTTATTACATACTCAAGCAAGAATCACATACCGAAACGGCAATGCGTTGTAAAAATATCAACATCGGGATGTCGATTGATTACCTTCGTGAATGTTTACTAGTGTTAATAATTCAGTTGTCTTATTGCATTCAAGCATTGTGTGCGTTTAGTTCTATCGAATGAAGACAATATGTACCCTTATCTGTGGATACGATTAAGAAAACTTTTGAAAGGAATTTGGCACAGGCATTTTTGCCGAAGTAAGTTAAAACATGTTATTAACTGACTGCACGAACTTCATTTAGCCTTATCTATATGTATTTATAATTGTATAATAAAGAGAAAAGGTTTGATTGTCAGTAAGCATAACAAATGAAAATTACATCTTTTCCTAATTGAATACGGAGTTATCTTCTTTAAAACTTCAACATTTTAATGATATTAAAACCATTACTTTTCCCTATCAAATATAACTTTTCAGATTTTTCATTTATTTTTCATTATTTATTATTCATTACTAGTGGCCGCCAGCGACATCGTCCGCGTTTTCCATTATTTCTTCGCTCCTAATAGGTGCAGCGTGATGTTATATAGCCTTGAGCCTTCCTCGATATATGGTCTATTCAAGACAAAAAGAGTTTTTCAATTCGAACCAGTAGTTCCTGAGATTAGCGCGTTCAAACAAACACTTCAGCTTTATAATATTAGTATAGATATATCGGATCCAGGATGATAAAATAGTAACGAAATTATTAACTTGACATTAATAAACCCTAGGTTCCTGTTTTTTTATAAGACATGTCTTTGTCATGCGTTCGTCTTTGTAGCTACCTGCAGACTAATGTCATTAAACCAATGTGTTTTTCAAAAATTAATTTCGACTAATATATTTCTATACCGATTTCTATGATTCTTTTTTATAGAATACTTAATACTGTTAACTTTTTTAATTAGGGATGACTGAGAGTGTTATAAACGTAATAGTAGACAATAGACAAATACAATCAGAAAGCTTCGAACTGCTAAGCTATCGGGAGTTACACGTGTTATTGTGAGTCAACCATAAAAGATAGACATATGCTGTCGTGGGATAGTTTTTATATAATTTTAAGGAGAACATTTCCGTCATACATGATTTCTGGGTAGCTTTAACCATTAAGGTTGCAGACGCGACGGAAGCTTAAAAAATGGAGTAACTTCTCCCGTTTTCCCAACATTTCCCCTCACTGCTCTGCTCCTTTTGATTGTGGCGTGATGAAAAGTTTAATATAACCAGCTCAGGAGTATGAAAAATAATTGTACCAAGTTTCGTTAAAATCCGTCGAGTAGTTTTTGTGTCTATAACGGTTATACAGACAGACAGACAAAATTTTTTACTGATTGCATTTATGGTATCAGTATCGATCCCTAATCACGCCCTGATAGTTATTTTGGAAATATATTTCATGTACAGAATTGACCTCTCTACAGATTTATTATAAGTATAAATTTATAAAATAACTCGATCAGCACGTTAATAACGTAGCCCTGTAGTTCGTAGATTGTAGCACGTAGCTCGTAGCATATACTGACGACGTCACGGAGCAAAGCCATATTTTCAAACAAAATTAGTAAGTTTTTTTATATAAAATATTGTGACATATTATATGTAGTTATATATTTTAGTTATTATTATATTTTGATCAATTTCACATCCATAATGCTATACTGATAAATAATTGAATGTAAATGAAAAATGCTTAAAAAATCAACCAGTCCCAATTACCCCAGATGGGACTCGAACCCATGATTTTTCGCAATCCAGATGACTGTTCTAACCACTGAGCTACCCGATATTCAAGAAGTCTGACGAATTTTTCTAGCACTTGTTATTTCTTAGTTTCAATCATCAATTTTCAGGCAATTTACCCAACCATATTCACTTCATTCAATTACTATATTTATTTTGCTCAATAAATTAATATGGAAATAATCAACCTACAGAACGCGAGCGCTCAACGTCGTTCTCATCTCTTCAAGAGTGCTTAGAACAGCCTCCTAATCGCAACATACTATGGAGGAATTGGTTTCTGGTGTTACTTATTGCTCCACCAATATACTACTTCGCCTCCGTTCAGAGATTGTGGCAACATGATCTTTCTAATGTTCAAGAGTTAAGGTTCGTAGAATTTACCGAAATTACTTAAATGGTAGTTAGTTTGGTAATACCTATACTTATTAACTTCCGCCAACGGCTTCGCCCGCGTGTTCTTTTATTATACCTACTCTTGAATAACTCTGTATGTTGAAGAAAACCGCATCCTATGTGTTATTTAAAAGATTTTAGCGTACAGACATCTGGGAGCGACTGGTTTTTACTATTTACTTAATAAATTTTATTATCACAGTAATAAATCGAGAAAAATAGGTTTCATAGACTCTTATATCACATTCAAGCGTTAAATCTAGGATAAGAGAAATTAAATTATCGCTGAGACATTAAATACCGACGGGCATTTCAGACTTTTCCCACTTTTCCATGTCGGTGTTGAAATACATAATTTGTTCTCGGATAGCGCGCGTTACAACACTTACTACTAACTATATGCCGATTCTGTGCAATAGAAAGAGAGGCTATTAGGAAATCATAAAAAATTGCATTGTTGACAACAATAAGCAAATTATATTATAACATTTTCTTAGCGCCACGCAGGCGACTGCTCCACTTTCATGTTTTTGAAAGGTTGCATACGTTCGTTAATTCTTTGAATGATGCTCGCTCTACCTTCGTCTTCCAAAGGCTAAATGGTTAGTGTTTTCAAGAAAATTCTGATAGAACATGTTTTATCAAAACTGTTCCTGCTTCTAGGCACCATATTTTTATATTTATAACGCATTCAAATCACGCTCTTGCTTAGATTTAATATTTTCTTACGCACATAATCATATGAAGTTATATCATTCACTTAATAGTTGAATGATACTATTTTCAAAATCTGGAATCCGGGGTATTAAGCATTTTTTTACATTGTTTTTTCATATTTCAGACCTTCTCCTGAGCAAATTCCAAATAAATTTAATGAAAAAACAATTATGACATCCATCTTGTATGAACAATCAACAGATGATATTAATCTTCAGACAGCAACGCCACACTGTAAGTTGATTACATGATTAACATATATAGCTAAATTTTCGTACTTTTCCCATATGAAATATTTCGTTGGAATTTATTAGGATACGAAAGTAAGACCTGTGATTGGATACATGAAAATTGAAATCTACTACGCAATTCTGTTATAAATTCCCTTGAACTCCAATGTAATGTAGTCACAGTATAGGTTCAATCAAATAAAACCTACTTTAAAAGGTAATAAAGTTTTTACTCCATTGAAGCTATATGCTATCACAGCGCTGCTCCTGAGTTCAAGTTTCTATTCGAATAGCATTGCTGAAGTGTTATGTTGATATTTAGTTCCAATAAAATATTTATTATAGTTATGTCAAAGAGGTCCTGAAGAAAATCAACAAGTATTTTTATAGAGACATTATATATTTTGAAATAACTTTATGTAACTTTTATTTTCAATTAGATAACGGAAGTGTTACGGGGCCTTGGTACAATCATACCTTTCGCGGCAATATTGAAATTCAGCAAACAAATCGAATCGTATCTAATGTAGGTGAGTGAGTACATTTTCTTTTTTCACTATAGTTCAACAATCACGTAGGCCCTGAAACTGAAAATTATTTGTTTCAATTTTTCAATACCCAGGTGCTAAGGGTTGAGTTACATTTGGCAGCATCTTATCTATTTTTTTTTTACGCTTTTTCCTGTTCTGACATTGATAACCGCCTTTTGCTAGAGCCAGAATAAATTTATTTATTTATTTATTTATTTATAAAAGGCACAGCTACAGAAAACAAACCATACAATACAATATTACAAAATGTTATAGTTTAAAACTAAGTTTGTCCCCCGATTATAGCTACGCACAACACTTCAAGAATACAACTTATATTAGACAACACAGGCAATTATTATGAATTTATTTTAAGATCACATGTGCGCAAGAAAATGGGTAAGTTTTGGGAAAAAATGTCCAAGTCTTTACTAATATTATTGTAAGCTCTACACATACGAGAAACTGGATCATTAAAGGTTACATTGTTGTTACTTATAGGTAAGGAAAACAGCTTCTGTGTTCGAGCACTACCAATTCTGAGCGAGAAATGACCCAGCAACTCACTTGCATCCCATTTGGCATTGACAACTTTATACAAAGTACTATATTCGGCCATTTTACGTCTGTGACTAAGTGATTTCAATGAAAAATTATTCAAGCGTGCCTCGTAGGTAGATAGCTTGCGTCTTAGTCCAAATTTCGCACTTAGAAAACGCAAAAAGCGCCTCTGAATGGATTCAATCCTATCAGTATGATTGTGGTAGTACGGACTCCAAATTATAGAACAATATTCAAGAATGCTCCTAACTAAAGACGTAAATAATATAATAATACTATCCGCCCTTCTAAACGGCCTTGTCATTCTGCATATAAAACCTAGTGCTTTGTTAGCTTTTGAAATTATGCTGTCATAATGGTTTTTGTATGTTAATTTAGAGTCCAGCCATACACCGAGATCTTTCACCAAATCTTGACGCTGCACTTTACATTTGTTTATGTAATAGGGAAATAATAAAGGATTCCGTTTTTTAGTGAAAGTTATAATCTGACATTTTGATATATTCAGTGTCATATTATTATTGACACACCAATCATAAAGCAGATCAATATCCAGCCGTAGCACTTCACTGTCTTGTGTGGATTTGATTTCATGATATATTTTAATGTCATCAGCATATGCTAAACAATTGCAAGAGATAGAATTCAAAAGATCATTAATGAAGAATATAAACAATAAGGGTCCGAGGTTCGAACCCTGAGGAATACCTGAGGTAGCCAGAAAAGGATCTGAATCAAAACCATACACTGACACCAACTGTGTACGATTAGTGAGGTACGACTCTAACCATCGCAGGAGTGATCCATGAATTCCCTGGTGATATGCTTTGCGACAGAGGATAAAATGATCTACCTTGTCATATGCTTTAGAAAAATCCGAATATAACACGTCAATCTGTACTCCATCCTTGATTCCCTTATTGATATGATGAACAAATGTTAGAAGATTGGATACTGTGGATCTCCCTTTAACAAATCCATGCTTATGATCATCATATATTAAAATTTCGAAGAGAATTCCAAGGCGTGCTATTGTACACCCACCATCTTTTATGCTTACTTAGTGAATATTACTGAACGAGAGAAAACAATAAGACGATGGAAACTGCGACACTGTGCAGTTAGATATAGCTCAAATCTTCATTGTAATTTTTATGACACATGGGATTCACGGGATTTAGTTTGGAATCCGAGCAATGTACGAGTATGTGATGTTGTCTAATATATACTCCATTTATCCGTTTAATTGTATACACGCTTCAACTACACAAAATTTTAGCTGCTGACCTCACTGATGAACGGTATCCAAAGATGTTATAAAAAGATTGTTAAGTCTTCAAAAGCTCTGAGTGTACAAAATTTATTATTGTTTAGAATTTTTAGTCACAAATTTACGATCTCTCATTAGTTTGAGATTACTTATGCTATTATGCCGTTTTTTTTCAATTTTATTAATTTTACTTGCAGGAGCTCCAAAGTCAGTGCCTGTTGTAAATATAGCAACTAACGTTACCATGCCGTGGTGCAGATTTCGAATAAACAAAAGTGGTAATAATCTCTTTATTGGTTACAATATTTCTATGAAACCACTATTAACTTATTCTGAAGGTTATTTATTAAGGTCTAATGGTAATCATAAAAGTTGCTCATTGTTTTTACTTCGTAACTTTTACTTCGTAAAAACAATTATTGCCGCGTTATATAAATAAAAAAACCTAGAAAGTTAGTAAGGTAAGCAGTGCCAAGAAAAAAATAAAGACTCGGTGGTTTGTTTTTCTTTGTAAGTGTAATATCACTCGAGGGTTAATATTGATTACTTAATTCGTGTAGTTTAATTCCTCACTTCTAATTCCTAGTGACTATAAATTTACTATCCCGAGCTTCTCCGTGCTTCAGAAGGCATGTTAGGCCGTTGGTATCGGCTGCATCTGGAGTCGCTAACATCCAGAAATGCATGCTGAGCCAGCGTGGTGGGTTATTTATTACCCATTCTCGCTCTGCAGTTGGGATATTAATAGACCGATTATGGATGATGAATGCTTATTTGATGATATTGAATTAGTACTACAATGTGGAGTAATCTTTGATAACACTTAATAGCAATACTGATCTCAGTAAAATAACTCGAGTTTTTTTTTCAATTGGGAAACTTAAGAATTATTATGCGTTTGGAATTTAACATCAATCAAATATTTCAACAGATGCCTCTGTGATATTTAGCAATATATCCAGTGACCAAGCTTACAGGGAGCTGGTGAAGGTAGGAGGGTACCATGTTCCACAGGAATGCAGACCAAGACACAAGGTGGCGATTCTAGTCCCGTTCAGGTAAGTATAAGAGATGTCTACTGTTAACTATTTTGATAAAAAATTTATTTCAATCAAATAAAACTCTACGTTCACGAAACCTTTTCTCCGGTTTTAGTACATATGTATAATTTTTCACAGTATTTACTATTTGATTTTAAATAATAACTATTTATGACGGTAATTATATTTTTTCTACGATACAAACAAAGTAGAAAAGTATTATTCGTTGTCGATATCGATGTCATTTTCATAAGCTTTTTATTTCCAATGAAATAATTTTATTGAATTAATGTATGGTCCTGTTTTGAGTTAATTTTGAATAACGGTGAGTATTTTTGGTAGAATATAATAATATTTGATAATAATCATAAATATAATTTCTAATGTAACGATATGGCAGAATGTGTAAGATTTTTCCAAAGCTTGATGTTTCAGTTTGTTGAAGTACTAACAATGTATACTGTCCAGGAATTTTTTTGATAATTAACAAGTAGCAAAAAACTTATAAATTATAAAAATAAATAAAATGCAACTGCTGAGATTGCACAATCATCAGATACACACACGCAGCAGATCTCAGAAGTTGGTAGGAAGATGAGCTCCGAAAAAGAGCATCGTGATGGTTTAAAGTTAATTTATCACTAAATTAATAGTAGTTAGATTATAAAAAGGTATTGGGTTGGCACAAAAGTAATGAGACACACTAGAAAAATCTATAACATTTCCTTTTTAAAATCAATTTTTTCGATAATATTCTAGAATGTTGTAGAACATTCTAGGTACTTCTGGTGTAGGGTATATAAAGCCGCGCTCGCGATTTGTTTAGTCAGTTTGAAGAAAAATGGACGAGCGACAAGTTTGAACACTATACTTATACGAGTACTTATTAGGCCACAGTGCGCGGGCTGCGGCTGACAATATCAACAATGCATTAGGCGCTGGAAGTACAAGCCATGCGACGGTGCCCCGATGGTTTGACCGTTTTAAATCAGGAGACAGGAGCCTTGAAAGTCAGCCACGCTCAGGGTGACCACCCGCAGTGAATGATGACGATTTGCGCCGCGACTTCAGTTGAATCCGGATGCTACCACTCGTGAATTAGCGGAAGCACTTAAATGCAGTCACCACGCCGTGGAACACCATCTGCATGAGCTTGGTTATCGAAAAGTTTTGGCTCGGTGGGTACCGCACATCCTTACAGACGCCAGTCGTGCAGTCCGTGTCGCTATCTGTCAGTCACTTTTGTTGCGACCCCGACGTAAAGAGTTTTTGTCAAATCTGGTTACTGGAGATTAATTATGGATTTATTACGAGAACGATACACGTCGTGCTTTTTGGCTGCCTCGAGAAGAAACGCCACCAACTCAACCGAAGCCGAGTCAAAAGAACCGCCGAAAAATTCTGCTTTGCTGTTTCTGGGATGCGCAAGGCATACTGTTTTATGAGCTATTACACAATGAAACTATAAACGCTGACAAATATTCAACCCAGCTTACCAAATTATCTGCCGCTATGAAGAAAAAACGACGAAGACGAGTCAATGTAGTTTTACTGCACGATAACGCTCGTCCTCACGTCGCATCTGTGGTTCGCCGGCAGTTGGAGAACTTGGGCTGGGAGACGATACCTCACCCACCTTATTCCCCAGACCTCGCCCCATCAGACTATCATTTGTTTAGAGCCCTGAAACAGCATTTGCGGGGTAAACAATTTAATCATTTCTCTGACGTAGAGGCGGAGTTGAACAACTTTTTCGAGGCACAGCCATCAGAGTTCTGGGCAAAAGGCATCCAAACTTTGCCGGATCGTTGGCAACAAGTCTTAGATACTAATGATAATTACATCATTGACTAAACTTTTTTTATTGTAATAATAATAAAAAAGTAGAAACTTAAACCAAGTGTTTCATTACTTTTGTACCAACCCGATATTAAGACTTTCATTTAATGTTACAAAGAGATTCAGTAATCGCTAGAAGTTGGTTACGTGCCGCCGCTAGCAGGTGTTTCAGTGCCTGACCTCCGCTGGATACTGAGTGATGAAGCTTTAGAAAACTCTTGCACGCACTATTTATACATCTTTTGTTCCAGAGATCGTCAAACTAATCTAGCGATGTTCCTGTTTAACATTCACCCATTCTTAATTACTCAGATGTTAGAATATAGGATATTTGTTATTGAACAAAGTGGTGAGTAGCAAATTTGTGCCTTTGTCTAGACTTATTATGAAATGATGGAATTTATATAATATCTATTAATTTCCCCCTGCTGGGGCATAGACCTTCTCTATGGAAGGAATTAAACAGGGATACCATACCATTACCTAACACGTGTGCCCAGTGCGGATTGGTGGGAATAAGGACTCTAGATGCAGCTGGTGCTTACAGCTTAACGTTCCTTCTGCAGCGCGGGCGAACTGGAACTAATAAATTTTTGGTCATCCATTTTGTTTCCCGAGAGTTGCTTCATTTCCGCATTGCAACCCAAAGAAATTGCCCCGCGCAGCCATCGAGCTCTCATCAAGCCTTCTCTATGGATAATATTACATAAAAGGGACGTCGTCTTAAAAAAATAAATTATCTAGATTTTCTTCGAGCTTTGTCGTTAAAAAAACATTAATATTTAGGTTTGAAAATTTAAATAGGTGTGGTACTGGCGCTCCCATCCTAATGTATGTTTTTTATAAGCACAATAAGTTTATATAACTTGTTATAGGCACGGGGTTGTTTAACAAGGGCCGGCTCTACAACGCCGGTTATTTGGAAGCCGGCAAGTTTGGCAATTGGGACTGTCTGGTATTCCATGACGTTGATCTTCTGCCGATGAGCAAGCTTATTCTGTACAGCTGCCCTATCTGGCCGCGGCACATGTGCGCTACTGTTGTGGACAATGGCAACAGTTTGTAAGTTAATAAAAATAAAGTTTTCCTTAGATTTTACAACGTTTTAAATGTTACTTACATGATTTTCTAATTACTTATGTCATTACATATTTTTTTAACAATTGCGTTATCTTTGATACTATTTCAGGTAATTAATATTCGGGTTTAGATGACTTTAACCCAAAAGAAAAATCAAGGAGAAATCAATCAACAAATAAATCACAATCATTTATTCAGTCTAGGTTATTACGAGCAATTAGACAATTTGGACGTGTGGTAAAGAACTTCACAATCTACTGTCTTTTCCACTAACGAAAATTACCAAAATCTCGAATCCGTGAAGATTACCTCTGCAACAGAGGCAGAGACATACGATAAAATTCCAGTTCTATTTTAGCTGGAATTGTATCGTATGTCACTTAGTAGAATTGTAAAACCATTAAAAACTGTAGTTTCGTTCGGTTTCGATCCGTTTTAGATTCGATTTAATCAAAATTGATTTAGTAGAATTAGCCCCCCGGTTATGTCCAATTTCTAGGCTGTTACGAACACTTGTGAAAGTCGAAACTCTATGGGTTCATATACCTGGTGGAACAGAACGACCGACACTCCCGAGGTTCCTGAAGAGTACTATTTGTCTTTAATATGATGTAAAAAAAAATATATGCCTAGGTCAAATAGTTTCGGAGATATTACATTTCAAAGTTTTTTGAAAAAAATGAGTGTTTTCAACCCTGAGTCAGCTGTTTTTGGGACGTACTAAGGAAGACTTCTTCATTTCTAAAAATAAAATAAACTAGTTTGTGATTTATAAGACCGCTTCCATGTAAATAATACCAGACAATCAATAAACAAGATAGTCAAAATGCTTAAATCGATTTACAGACTAACAGCCGGTTTCTGATTTGAAAAAAGTAGATAATCTCTACTGCATATTCTAAATAACCTAAAATTTAATTTTAATTTCATTTAATTTCACAAGTCAAATAGTCCTTGTTTTATCAAACTGCTATCATCAAAAAACTAAAATCGGAAACGAAAAGTGATGTTAGTTTGAGACGTTTGACTTTAAATTCTCAATTCAGAAACCGAGTGTAAAATTTTCTAAATTATTGTAGAGAGATCAGTCTAACATTAACCTACGTTATATTAAAAGAGCAGTTCTCAAAAGAAATGTTTGAATGGGGTAATAATACTCTTTTAAAACGGGATCGTTAATTAAACTCGATAAACTCACAAATCTTCCAGCGATTCATCATTAACACAAATGAACTTTGTTTTAAAAACATTGAGGAATTTGTTATTAAAATAGCATTTAAAAAGAACATTAAAAAATGCGTGATATCAAAAGACGAATAAAAAAAATGTGAACCGAGTTCGTCCCTCAATATCAAAGCCCCACCCGCGCGCCAGCCGCCAGGCGGCTTCATTATTCTGTCGGTATTTTCCGGCCGATCAGTCGCCGCCGACCTTTTGCGCTGGAGTGTTGTTGCGCATCGCCGCCGACTCACCGCTGCGAAGCGTCTTTTTTGTCGATTTTGGTTTTGTTCTAGTGGATTTTTAATTGAATTTTTGTTAATAACATACTACAGTGTTCGTCTTGAGTTTTGTGTGAATTGCGCATGCATGCACCGGCATGCAAAAGAGCGTGCTTAGCTCAGTCTTCGGAGAGGAAATTGACATTTTCAGCATCGACTATCATCAAGATATCGGTAAATAAATTAAATTAATGTATTTCGCGGTCCATTGTTATCTGCGCATAATCGATATTGCGCATACGCGCTATAGGTCTCTCAACACATAGAAATACAAAAATTTTTACTCTATTTTTACACCTTCTTTATTTTGAAATATTTGTCAAATAATTTTTTTTTTTTTTTTTTTTTTTTTTTATTTATTTAAGGAACAAACAGTTATACATATGTTACATGATCACAAGATATTAACAAAAAAAAACCTACAGTTCCCTACATTAAATATAGTTACATTTAGGCTTAAAGTTTATGAGAGATAGTAATAGGCACAACTCACAATGCACCCAGCAACAAAAAATGATGTTTGCATGTAACCTGACTTGAAACTTTCGGCTGTGTCGGTCATTTTGAGGCTCCCGGTATCTACGGCATGATACCTTGTACTGAGAAAAACTGGCAAGTAACTCAGCGAAGTTTGCTTTTTCTCTCAACGCGGTTACGAAATACGAATGAATGATACCTACTTACCTAAGTGTTACTTTTTTATTTATTATAATTATAGGCAATTCTGTTTTTGTGGAAGTGAAAGATAAGCACATAAATTATACTTAGTTACGTATTTAAATAGGTATTATTTAAAGTCCTTATCTAAGTTTTTTGTTCTAGCTCGGCTTTTCACACTTTTTTCGGCGGCGTTAGTTCTATGACAAAGAAACAATTTGTTCGTGTCAATGGATATTCCAATTTATATTGGGGTTGGGGCGGTGAAGATACTGATATGTTTTGGAGGTAAACAGTTATAGACTTTGAAAGTAGGTTTCGTTTCGTTTAATATAAATCAGTATTTAACTTTAATTTCAGGATAAGAGGCGCTGGCTTCCCTATGGTCCGATACCAAAAAGATATTGCCAAATATTTGTCTTTGCCGCATAATAAGATTGAGGAATGTAAAAATAGGTAAGCATACCTAAATATTTTGATAGTTCTCGCGTGATGTTAACCTGACACTGCCTAAAGAATTCTGAAGAGACCGAAACAGGTGGAAATCTGAAGGTGCAAGGTCAGGCGGATGTATAAATTTACCTAGTCATCATCCCCGTAGTTGAACTTGGTCTGCCTACTGCTGACTTGGCTTTTATTTCTTCAGAATGAATAAAGACAGCAGCGCTGTTATTCTGTTGCAAACACAGCGCTGTCACAACCTACCTTTAAAACAGGTTTTATTTAATAGAACTTCTAATGCTACGACAGCGCTGTGTTCGACGCTGTATTTTTATCAGAATAGCATCGCTCATGTCAGCTACGACAGCGCTGTGTTCGACGCTGTATTTTTATCAGAATAGCATCGCTCATGTCAGTGGTGGATTATTCTTTATGCGACCTAGGCACGTACTTAGGAATATAGAATACTTGACTCTTGACTATTCAGGTAAAACCACCTATTAATTATATCTCTCGTCTGCGTGAGATACTAAAATAAAATTTTAAACAACTATTTTTTGTGACATGATTTAGAGTAAGTAGCACTAATGAGACACTGGCCTAGGGAGCCATCAAACTTAAATCCGTCATTGTTGCCTTATGGACAGTACGTACGTTTAAGTTACACAGGTATCGAAAAAGCAAGGTAGGCATTGAAGTAAATTATTTTTCATACTCGTACTTTTGGTGATATTTATATTCTTGGTGTTTTCTATTACAGAAATGAGTTGGTGAGGACTGCTATAGCTCGATATTCCTATGATGGCTTGACAACATTGCAGTACAAAGTGATATCATTGAAATTCCTACACCTATACACTCATATCTTGGTCGATGTTGATCCTGTATCAAATAAAACCTCAAAATAATACCATTAACTGATTTTCGCCATTTTATTCGTAGATTTGAAACCTTTAGATTATTTTAGTATAGAGAACAAATTATAAAAAAATGCTGTAGCGGACATTAGCCAAAGTGGAATTAATGAAAAAATGTAAAGTCACTATACAGTTGGGTCATTATAAAAAGTTAATTTGACATCCATTAACCTGCACTTGATATTGAGGCCTCGTTCATAAACTTTCGATTTATTTAGTGAATCAATATGGTTTTGAATAGAATGATGTTAGTGTGTTAAAATATTATCAGTTTTATGACTGTTATCAATATACTACTTCGTGAAATTGATTTATTCAATTATGTATTGTGTCGATATTGTAACAAGAACAATAGAAGAAAATCACACCGTTGTATCTCATTGCCCACGACAAATATATAGAGAAAGAGGACGTCGAATTGCGCTCAAAAACTGTTTGCTGAATTAGGCACACGCAAACTTCATATTACGACTATGGTTAACTGCTGCATGATTCCATTAGTTGGTGTTTATCAATTTTCCCAATACAAAATAATAACAATAAGAAATTGAGAATTTTAGAAGATATTTTTTTATTTTATTATATAAAGAAAATTTTATAAATTCAAGTTTTGGATATGACTAACACTCGGTTTCTGAATTGAGAATTTGAAGTTGAGCACGTCTCAAACCGTACTCAAGCCATTGTAAACGTCAATTAAACAGGTTCTCATTACTGATTTCAAATTTTTTAATGATCAGTTGATAGCAATTTAATAAAACGAGATTTTTTCGCCTTATAAAACGTAAAAAACTTAAGTTATTGAGAATAATCAGTTGAGATTTTGTGCTTTCTCAATTCAGAAACCGGCCGATAGTCCTTACAAATATGATTTTATTTCATAATGTTTAATGGTGGCATTTGGTGTACGCGCTCTCTTAAATATAATGGTATTTGGATTACCATTACCAAGTTATACATGAGTTTATTAAAGACATCGATGGTCCAAGTGGTTGGAAATCCAACTCGGTTGCATTTCTTTATTTTCGTATTGAATATTTTCGTATTAAAAAGACTGCAAATATAGGGATATATTCTTTGAGTTCAAAACAATATGTAGAATGAAATTGTTTATAATTAAAAGTTACTTAATAATATTTTAGTGATAAGAATAACTATGTGGATATTTGTTCATGTTTTCATAAATAATTAACAATTAAACTTCCGAGTAGACCAAAGAATCTTTACAATTTTTTTGAGACATCCCTACTGTTTAAAAAGGCAACGGTTATATATGGTTACGGCGTTAAGTTTGTTTAGAATGTAATATATTTATTACATTAAGAAAGGTTTATTGGTCAAAGTAAAACATAAAATTTAGTTTTATATTATAACAGTAAATATATATCAATAACAAAGAAATTTGCAATCTTACCATTGCCGTAACTTTGTAAAAATTATAATAATAAGTTTACTGCGTTACAAGGTCACTGTGAAGTTAACACTGAGTCATTTGTGGCCCACAGACTTAGTAGGTGTGGCCTATTATAATGACCTAACTGTCATTGTCATTTTGACTTACGTTTGTTAAATTTTGTGTTTAGACTACATCCAGCTTGTCATTCTTGTAAAATTATTAGAAGAAAAGTTAAGTTACTGAGAAAAGGAAATTAACGAGAGATCAAACATTTTAGATTTTTTTTTAAATTTAAAGTGTATTTGATTTTCGAGCATCAAGATAACTATCGAGTTTCCATTGAGAACATCAATCTCTATGTCAAAATTTCACTTATCTTACTTCAGTTCACTCCGCATCCGACAGTGAGGCGCTAGCGGCGTTTTCGTGTTATAAAGAATACGAAATTTGAATCCCACCGGCTCATCGCGGATTCAGATAACCGATGTTCGATGCGTTTATAGAAACGCATGATGGCTGTTTACCGGCGTGTGAAGTAAAGTTGTTCAAAACAACTGAAATACACTAACACGCTAAGACTAAATGCTAAGAAAATTAGCCTGCTAATTAACGCGTTAATTTATTAACGAGATAAATACATAATAAATATGGTGCGCGACAAAAGCATTACATCAAGCAGTTCAATAAATATTGTAGCACTTTAATTATTACATGTCGATCTTGAACTGAGTGCGTGCTATAGTAAACAATAATTTATTAATATTTTATTCTAATACACATATACAATCTTAGGTCCTTTCACTAAAATTTGTCCTTATATTAATTGATATTACCATCTTAATTATAAACACCTACTTATTATTGTTTATCATGTGATATTTTTTATTTATATTCTTTTTTTACAATTAAAACTTATAATTTTTTATGTAATATATATTTTTATTTTACTCACATAATCGCAATTTAATCTAAACAATTTAAACTCAACTAAATTAACTAGGTTAAAATATCATCTAACTAAACTATGTTAATAATACACGATCATATTTAACAGGCTACTAGAATAAATCGTTAGCGCGTCCATTTGTATTTATACATCACAAAATCTTATTTTTATAAACAAAACTAAAGTAGATACAAATACCTAAACTCAAAAAAATACTTCATTTTCGTCTTCTGTAATATTATTTGTTTACTTCGTAAAAATAGTTAATAAATAGGTTATGTCGCCTTGACATATTTACAGGCGTGTGACGTCACAAATACCAGGTAATCAGCGCCATTATGTAGAATGGCGATTTTTGCTCGATTTTGGCTTTAGCAATGAGGAAGTACTTAAAATAAATAAAGAAATTTCAAAAATTTATTTCAGTAGATGGCCATAGAACCAAAGAGAATAGAATTGTCAGTGTTGTTAGAGATCTGATAATTCGGATTTATTTCGAGTTGAAGATCAATTAGTTCGAGTTACGCAAACGCAACTCGATTAATACGAACTAATCCTTGAATAAATTACTTTTTTATTTGTATAAAGGAAAATTGAAACTAACATAATGGAAGTGAGCATAGAGAAGGTTTTTTTTTAAAAAGCAATCGACATAAAACGTCCGTTTGAAACGAACAGCAAGGTTTAAACTTTAAATTTCAAAATTACAAAGACACGTACAGTTATTATGTACGTACAGTCGACGGAGGACGTTGAGACAGGTGTTACATATAATAATTCGTACGGTGGATATGTGCAACAGCCTAACTGAATTGATTTTGATATTTATATAATTTGACGTGGGGTGCATAATGGCACTTAAGGAAATATGACACATAAAAAAACAAGCTGAATTCAGCGCTCTGCTTTATGTTCTTGATTCTAAACCCGAATTCGGATGAATCGAGTCAATGGAAGTTACGAGCAACCAATAAGTTGGCTCATCACTAATGTTGACATATAAACGAAAGATCGTCCCTTTACACGTAACATAATAAATAATTCAAACTTTCCATTTAAATAAATTAAAACTAATTTTAAAGTTGGATATTATAAGAAACACGAAACGATGTCATATTTATAAATTTTCGATACTCAATTTCCTTTTATTATGTCAGAAACAAAATTTGAATGAATATCATAGACAAGATCCAAACATCGCTAGTGATATATAGTTTAATTTCAAGAACAAATTTTTATTTTTTAAATACATCCTCATTATTTGTGACAGTGTGTTTAAATTTTATTATTGTTTTTAAAACAATAATTTAAAATAGTTTATAGCTAGGTTTTAGAAACTGACCATGATAATTTTAAAATTAGGGCTAAACTAAAGTAACACAAATTTTATTCAATAAACAACAAAAATAATTGTGTTATTTTTCTCCAATACTATCTGCCTTTTGTGGATATATTTTTTATGAACATGCTTAAAACGGAACGTCAATAATTAAATGTTACTAGTATTTTAGCAACTACCGAGAAAAATGGAGAAGTATCTTATTGTATTTTTTTGAAATTAACATTAACATTGTTGTATAGCGTTATTTAGGTAAACAAATGATAGATAGAGTTAAGAAAATCAATTAAAAATATTATTATGAAATCAATGTAAATTGGAGATCTTGGAACACAATTATCACTATTGGAGTAAATGTTCTGTAAAAGGATGAAAAATTACCTGATACAAAGTTAGCTTAAAAATTAGGAAATTTTAGTAAACGTTGAACATTAATTTTCATGACGTTACTGTTTTGAAAGTTTATTCTTTTCAATGAGGTGTTCTCATTTTAAGCTGGGCAACATTCTATATGACAGTTTCCGAAGGAAAATGTCAGTTTCGATTTGCGGTTGCCGTGGATGGTGATATTCATGTGATTTTTCGTCGAAATTTGTGAAATTTTCGCACTTTCACTCTTAACAATCAATTTAAATTGTGTCATATATAATAAAATTATAGAGTGAAATTTGTTATTGCAACATCGAATAGTTGTACAGTTCCCAACCTCGAAGATTTTGTACAATTTTCCTGGTCAGACTTGTTTTTTTGGTGCAATTGGTCGCATTTTGGTTGTGATATAATCGGAATATACTGTATGAAGATCTAAAAGGTATGTTAATACTTTATTATTAAGAACTTATAAGTACATTTCTACGGAAATGCATTAAATATAAAAAATATATAAATATTGACGTCAGAACAAAGTGTGCTGCAGATACTTATAAATCCCGGCTTCTTTGGGAAGTTATTATTACCTCATTGTCTGTTAATCTTTCTAAATTATATATTGAAACGTAAAGACATGTATTAAGATGTTGTTATGAAGACTTCCTTTATTGCCAACATAATTTACCTATATCTTATTTGGCATCATTTTTTGTAAATGAGAAAATAATCAAAAATATTTGTAATGAAATTATTTTCAGACTTAGATGTTATAATTAAGGAAAGGTATGGACGTTAGTATAAATTATTTTTGTTCTAATACAATATTGCTAAATATAAAATATGTGTAACATTTACCATGCTATCAATTACCTGAAATGAGCCATAAGTTATGTTTGCTGCATGTCAACATGAGTTCTGAGTAATATATTATTATCAGTCAATATGCACACTAACCTTCCTTGGCTTTCAGTTCCAATTGTAATTGTTTATCACTGTTATACATATAATAACATGATAAATTCACATATCAAAACAATATTAATTGTACCTACAGTGAAAAAATAGAGTCTTAAACTTAACAAAGTAGTACATAAATCTGTTGTAACTTCCCCAAAATTAAAAAATCTAACTTTTATTTGGGTTTTTTAACGTTATTCTGACGTCACATGTAATCAAAGAAATGTATTCATACTCTATCTACAATAATATAATTACTTAATTTATCTTAGTTATTTTCAAAATCAAAAACAGGGTTAAATCTTAATTTAGTATGTGTAACAGAATTGCTACCAAGGACTACCAAGTTATAATAGGTAAAATAATAATTTACTAGAGAAGCACAAATGCAGGTTATCTTACAGGGTAACTTATCTTAAAAAATTACTTTTATTGATGAAGAGCAAGAACTTGAACAAAAATGTGCAAGAGTATTATTTGATAAATATATATTTTTTAAGCAATTATATATAAGACAAGCAAGAGTTTTGTGATATTTGATCCTTTAGTATGCGTAAATACAAGGAAGGGAACTTAAAACTGCTGCATTTTTTCACTTTTGTGAATTTAGAATGAGATGCAGTATAGCTGTCATATACAGTTCCAGGATTCGTAATTATCAATTTTTTTTTTTTGATAATTATCCATAGTTACTGCGTGATAGAAAGGCAATTATTTGTTTTTGTTTTCAACTTTAAAAATTACATAAACAAAATAAACATAAAAATTTACTATGAAATCACATTGAACAAAAAGTGATTCTGTAATTAAAAAGGGTTTAGTTTTTTATAGATACATTCTAGACAATTTCTCTATGAGAAAAATACTTTTGATAGTTGTTTAAAGATTAATCCCTTTTATTAAAAAGTCTTTAAGTATCAATGTATATTTATGAAGATAATTATCATTGATAATAGTTATGATTACTAATTTTTCTTTGATTGTCCGTCAAGTAGATTATTAAATAATATTAAACATGTCTTTTTATTTTTTTGCATTATCATTAAATTAGAGCGATACATTTAGTAAAAATGTTGCATGATGTCTCGCTTCTGCACATTTTCTACAAAACTGTGACGTAGCGAGCCCCACTCCTCAACTTGAATGATCGTTATCTAAGCTATTGAGTACATGATTTATGTAAATGTCATTACTGATGATAAAGAGCTGGTAAGTTTCTTTGGCTTGTTCTTCTTGTCAGCTAAAAGACGACCTGAACAAGCGGTAGGTGAAAAAAAATATTTTTTTACAATTCAAAAGTGCTTGTAATAAGCCTACTTGAATAAAAATATTTTCATTTAATTTCATTTATTTCTTGTTAAATTGAAGTAAAAGAAAATACTGATTGAAGTAAATATGTTATATTTTTCTGTTATGTGACTGACGGACTAAATAGAATTTCTTTTTTTTTATCATTCATCAGATAATTATCACTCCGAACCCTGCACAGTTCTGTTCGTTTTTTTATTAATATCATTGATAAATTTAATAAACTTGTGTACATGGTTCGATGAATGATAAATGGTGTAAATAATATAAATCATTTTGATGATTGCCAAAAGTTTTTCATTCAAAAATTCATTTCAAATTGAAACATTGAAAATCAATAACTATTTTTGTTCACATTAAGTCAGTATTACAAGCACCTGTTATAGTATTGTTATCGCCATTTAGCAAATCCGCTCTTAGATATTGATATGACCTTCAGTACTGGATACATACACTGGACCTGAGGATGTGTCCTGTTAAACTATTTTGCTTATTCACTGTATACATTTGTTAGTTAACAGCAATAAACTAGGAAAATTCCATGTATTACTTGTGACAGATTCTTTAAATCTGTGCTGCTGATAATGTTCATTATGATTTTTTTTTGCTGATATTGACTTGGTCAAACATAAAAATGTTGATAGATACTTATAGTGTTTCTAAAAATTATTTACTGCCATAAAAATATCTCTATGTACCCTGCAAATTTTTATGTAGGTAGATATTGTATCTCTATGCGTTGTGAGTAATAAAGACATCGGTTTATATTTGAACTTATACAACGAGCTTGCAGAGGTTGCCTGCAGACCGCATGCGGTCCTTTATAAGCGTGTAGGCGCGATATAAAAAACTGTTATAAATAATTAGATTTTGTGTTAAGTGGATGTATTCTAAAATAAATTAACCTTTTATGCAGCTTAATGCACTCGAACGTCTACATTTATCTTCGTCCTTGTCTATACGCTTACTAGCGACCTCACCGCGTGATTGTGCCACCATTTTGTATTACTCATTTCGTTACACTCCCGATTGCGCTCATGATTGCAATTTTCCGCCAGCGACATGGATGTACACAGTTAGGATGTGCATAGACAGCGTTTCCTAAACTTTTCATTAATGTTACACCAATTAACTATTATGAAAACTGATTTAACCCCAGCTTTGAAATAATTCTAATATACATATATATTAATAAGTGTTGTAATATCTACTAATATTGTAAACGAATACAAACATAATCTTTATCATAAAATTGATATTTGCATTAGTTTTGCTGCAAGCAATTCTTATGTCACGTTCCACATTATTTTATTAAATTTGGTGTTAATTATTGGGTTTTTTGTTATCCCTACAGAATAGCTGATTTATCCCACGGAACAATTACCCCTAATTTAGGAACCACTCAATTTATTCTTTTTAACCCATTTTTATAACTACCGACCTATTTTCTTTTTCTTTTCAGTTCCTATCCTGTCCTATCCTATGCGATCTAAGACGCGGTCTATCTAAGTGAATCCTTGCCTTCAAGATATCACTTTAATCTTCGAGTTGCTTGAAGAAGTTCTATGGCTGCGTTCAAGTATAAAATACTTTGTGTTTCCACATTTTTTGCTGCGTGCCTAATGATATACAGTATGTACCTTTATATTTTTGAGAGGTACAGCGATAAAAAACATCTGGCTATGTTTGGTAGTATATTAACTTATTTTTGACGATGTTTATTTTTTTTTCGAATTAAAGATTTTTCAAATGTTAACCTGTTTATGTTACTAATAGGATTTGTTAAGCCAATTAGGAGCAATTGCATTATTTAAAATGAAATTTGTAAGTTATTTGAACAATTTTATTTAGTAAATTGTAATTTTGTGTTATAAACTAGGTATATGAGAGCCGGACTTTTTTTACACTACTCCTGGCGATGACGTTCTAAGTTACCCGTCGACCGCATCTCTGACATCAAGTGTATTTTTTATACACATAAAAAATATTAAAATCTAATAATAATGTATTTTTTTTACTCGTCAGTTTTCGAAAACTCTAACAAGTGGGCTAATCATGTAATTTAAAATCGCAATCTTGTACAAAGGCAATAGAATAGCTATTGTAATAGCGATTTGTGGAATTACTATTAACTTTTAAAGTATCAATCGCTTTAGGAACGAATGATGATTTTAATGACCAAGAAAAATAATAAACACTTAGCTAAATACGTCGACATTTCTCAATAACTTTCAGTGATAATTTCGTCTAACGCTTGTATTACACAATTCCAATTAACCTTAATATTCATTCACTATCTTTAGAAAAAACATCGTAATCGTAACGTGAAAATTATGAATTTTATTAAATAGTCAAATTGAAAGGGGTTACGATAGATTTTTAAATTAGTCATCCCCATGATAACATGATAATAATACAGGTGAAATGAAACAACCCTTTCTCCCGTTGTGGCTAATAGTGATGTTATCCGAAGCCTCTTCTTTATAAGGACGCACGCGATTAATAGACGACCTCTAATTATTAATACAAACCAGGACAATTTTGTCAACCTTTAAGTGTACTAACATTTTTAATTCGTAACTTCAATATGTTAAAATAAACCCAAATCATATTTTTATAGTTTAGTTTTGAATTAAAGAAGATGTCGCTACAACAAACTATAATAGATACCAACAACATTATGGTTTTGCTGTATATAATCAAAGGTTTTGCTATCTGAACCTTAGTGAGGATATCTATAAATGTTTCAAACGTACGTTACGTAAATATCGTCGGGTTTAAAATTACAAAATACACTTAGAGGTCGGAACTAAAACAATTTGCTTGGAAACGTTTTAATTTAATGTGCGTGACTTTTGTTTAATGTTTTGGTTTAGGAGTGTAAAGTGTGTCTAAGTATACATTATGCGGTATTAGTTTTACTTAGTTCTATTTATTTTATTATGGAAATTAAATAGGGAGGTTGCTCATAGATGATGCATGGCTACGCATTAGCTTTTTTTAATCGACCGAACATCAAAAACATACTTAGATACCTGGCGTGAGTCTATATATTGATAAAAATACAAGATTTCAGACACATTTAGTCATTTTTGATTAAGTAATATGAACTGTTAATTAGGTTATAGGTATGTAATCCTTCTGCTGGTATTTAAAATTAATCTTTTTCTCGAAATA